AGCGCATGAGTGTGGGGCAAGAGGGTCCCAGCAGCCAGCGTAATATGCAGGTCAGGAGGGTGAGGAGGCACCAGGAAGGACTGAGATGTGTCCAGTGAGTCGGAGGAAAATCAGTGGTTATCCTGGAAAGAGAGAGCAGAGAGTGTTTCCAAAAGGAATCAGAGACCAACTGTCTAGGATGTGGCTGAGTTCAGTGATGCCGGGACGGAAAACTGATCAGGAGATTCTGTAATGCGGTCTCTCCCTCGCAGACCTGCAAAGAGTTGTGTCAGCGGAGTGAAGGGTGAAGTCGTGACTGGAGTGAACTCAGGAGGCAGAAACAGACCTGAAATGGAGGTAGTGAATCAAATCAAATCGAATCTTACGAGGAGTCTCACTCTAAAGAGAAGCAGAGGAGCAGATGTTACTAAAAGAGAAAGTATGACATGTTTATAAACTGGAGGGAAGGGGATGAGACAGCAGTAAAATGAACATGCAGGAAGGAAAGAAGAAAGCGGGTAGGTGAAAAGAAAAAGCATTCAGTCCATGAGGGGTGGGTGGTTCGGAGTGAGAGTTCAGAGTAACAGAGGGACCGAGGTACATGAGCCCAGACTCCTGGTCAGGGAGATCTGACCTGAGCTTGTTATTTTCCGAATGCTTTCCTTTCACTGTAAAATGGGAAGAAGGCATTGCAATCTTATTGTTCACACTTCAAGTATATTGAAGCAATGAAATAAGCAAACTACTAAAACTCTTTAAAGAAATATTTCATTTGATGTTGCAATTTAACCTCTTAGATGAAAGTAACTATTCATTGACTCTTTATCATTTTAGCTGGAATAGTCTAGCCTACCTTTCCTCATTTTTTCTTGCTATCATTTGCTTCCTACATATTAAATAATAGGGAATATGCAAAACTGCACAGCAAGCTTTCATGCATATCACTAGTGCTCCCTAAGTGTTTTCTGATTGCCCGCCTGTTTTTCAGTAAATTTGGGCATAAAATTTATCAGCAGAGAGTGAGAGTGAGCAAGCAGGTATTGGCAATCTGATGAACCAGAGGATGTGAAGTAGTTACCTGTGAGAGCGGAAAGGGAAGGGCTAAGGAAGAATAACACAATTGTCTGGCAACATTACAAGTTTATATTTAGAACTTCTAATAAACCACTAATCATACCTTAAAAAATAAAGAGAAGTTTACTTGAGACATGTGGTCATGGCTTTACAATGAAATTGAGTTTTGTGCAGTCTTATTAAGCTGCATTAGGAGAGGTATGGGCTTGGTAGAGAGTTGAACATGACATAAGTTGTGATATTGCTATTTATTGCAAATGTTGGTTAAGGAAGAAAGAGAAAGACAGAAATGATTCCAGTAAGAAAAAGTGGTAAACTCAATGGGTGGGAGAGGTTGAAGGATCAAGAGTAAGTCAGCTGGAAAACTAGAGGTGTTGCTTAACAGAAATGTTTGAAATTAGGATTATGAAGAGGATTCAGTTGGTTGAAAGAGAAGTTCAACCATTATCCGTAAGCCAGTCCTTTTTCTCATTGTTTGCTTGCAGTAAATACCCTGTGAGTTTATCCTCCTCAGTGTCTCGGTATTTCTCGAATTTGTTTTTGCTTTCCATTGCCATGGCTCACCCACGAAACTACAACAATTTCCTGATTTCTCTCTTGGCCTCTAGCCTTATTCCCCTCCAATTTATTCCCATGCGTTGGAACAAAAATGTGAGTCTGTTAACAGCACAGCCAGGCTGAAACCACAGCAGCACTCACTTCTGCCCAAGCCCTTCATGGCACTTACGGTCAAGGTTAAACGGCTAACAGGGCTCACAGCTCCCTGCGTGATCACTCCAACGGATGCAAAAACTTTCTTCACCTTCATTTAATGTCATCGGGTTGTATCTATTTAGATGCATTCTGCACTGTAATACATTCCCTTATATGAATGCACCACAGGGTCTTAATCTGATCTCTAACTAATATTCATTTAGGTGCCTTCCAGGTCTGTGCTATTACAAATAAAGCTATCATCAATATTCCTGTCTCATGGGGAAGAGTTTTCCTATATATATAAAATTTTTTGGATACAGGATATGTCCCTTTTCAATTTTATCATATATCGCCTGTTCCTTTGTCTTTATATGTATTCTTTTTATTTATTTTTAAACTACATGTACATAGTTGTCAAAACCTAAGGAATGTGGACTAATGGTAAATAGAGACACATGAAGAAGTAGAGTCACCATTTTATTGTCAATATAAAATCAGTGCCTTTGCCCTCAGAGTTTACTCCATCAAAAAGTACCTATGCTGGCACAACTGTAATAGCATAAACAATAAAATATATTTTTAAAGAAATTACCTATGCCCATTTTTTTCAAAAATGTTTATTTTAAAAGATAGGAAGTCTTCACCTATTTACTATCCTTTATAAATTAACACATATAATCAACAAATGCTGATTTATTATGTACTAACACTTTGCTAGGAACATGGCAGTGAACACAATACTCATGGCAAGTGGAAATGTCGTGGAGTGGAGAACAGTGAGCCATTAACACAATAGAATGAACAACACAGTGTCGCTGGTAGGAGGCAGCTCTCCTCCATATGCCGGTTACGTCCCTGCTCGACAAAGTGCCCTCCCAAAGCGAAGGGTGATCGTTCCAGCTGTGTTTGGGAAGCTGGGATGTGATGGTGCAGAAGATACCGTTGGGTGAATCCCAGGGCTGCTGAGTGGCTCTGAGGAAGTGACGCACCCCGCAGTGAGGGGCGCTGGCACCATCCGCTCCCAGGGCAATCGGTCCTTACACAAGGGTTTCTCCTCTAAGACAGACATCCCTAGAGATTGCTCCATTTTGTGAATTATAATGAAACCCTTTTGAAACTTTTTAATAGCCGTGTATCTGTGGAGAACATGTTAATGAGTTCCAGTCTTCCAAGAGCCAGATCCCCGTGGACGCAGAGAAAACAAGACCCTTGCTGTCAGACGCTCCTTTCTAACAATTGTTCTAATGAGATCTCTAGGGCTTTGTTCCCCAACTTCTGTGAAGAGCTGCAGAAGTTGAAAATCTCTCTCCCACCAACTCTAGTTTTAAATGTTACTCATTGCCTATGTCACCAAGGATCTCTTAAGGCTTTCCACAGTGATCCAGGGGGAACCAATGAATAAACGTAGCCATATTCCAATTTTACCAGAAAGCAGAAATGGCTTAAGAAAAACTACTTATATCAATAGATCCAACCATTTCTCATTCCTCGGTTTATCCAATCTATAATCTCATCTGTCCTTTCTCATCTTTAGAACATAACTGTCAGTGCGGTCACCTACTGTGGTGACCATTTTCTTTGGTGCAGCTGTCTCCATGTACCTCCAGCCTCCCTGTAGTTATTTGCAGGACACATACAACAGCGTTGTTCTGTCTCCTGCTGAGTTTCCTGATTTACACTCAGGAACCAGCAAATCAAGGGACCACTACGGAAACTACTGAGGAGAACTATTGGCTTGAGAGGGAGCTGATGCAGGGCTTGAGCACTTCTGAGTGGCTACAAATTAGTTTTTTAAAGGTTTTATTTATTCATTTTTAGAAAGAGGGGAAGGGAGTAAGAGGGAGTGAAACTTCGATGTGCAAGAGATATGTACGTCCCCAAGTGGGGACATGGCCAGCAACCCAGGCATGTGCCCTGATAGGGAATTGAACCGGCGGCCTTTTGTTTGCAGGCCAGCACCCAGTCCACTGAGACACACCAGCCAGGGCAAAAACTAGCTTAAACTTAATTTGACAAATTCTACTACATACAAGACATTGTTCCAGGTAGAGGGGATATATCAGTAATCAAAAGCTCCTGTCCCCATGGAGCTAACCTTCTAGTGGGAGATTATAAATTAAAGAAGCTGAAAATAAACAATAGTATCGCTTATACGGAAATACTATAACAATAGTATTAACTATTAGTTAATACTATTAGTTAATAACTATTAGTTAATACTATTAGTTAATAAACAAATTAGTACACTCAACAACATGAATAATTCTCACAAACATGATGTTGAGTGAAATAAATCAGATACAAAACAGTTCACACCATGTGATTCCATTGACATAAAATTCAAAACCAGGCAAATGAATCTGTGGTGTTGGCAGTCGCTGGAGTGGTTCCCTGGGGAACAGTGTCTACAAGGAGAGATCTAGGGTGCTTCTGGGGTTCCGGTCACCGTCTGATTCTTCCTGTGGATGTCCATCAGATAAGGTTTACAACGTAATGAATTGACCCCTTTATCACTAGATAATGATATTATCATTTTTTTGGTTTAAGACTATTTTGTTGAGTAACTATGTTATACTCCTGAAACTCACATAATATTGTATTTCAATTATATCTTCATTTTTAAAAAGTCTATTTTGTCTGATATTAAGTACAGCTACCCCTCCTGCCCCAAACATTTAAGACCTGACATCAGTACTTTTCAAACTCTTAAAAAAATGTTGAAGAAGAAAGATGCTCCCAAATTCATTTTACAAGACAAATATTATCCTGATAACAAACCCAGATAAACACTACCAAAAAAAACACAGTATTTAATACAGATCAAGATGTATTTACCCCAGGAATGCAGGATGATTCAACATATGCAAGTCAATAAAATTAATATGTGCCTTTAATACAGCAATTTTCAACCAGTGTGCCTCAAGCATTTTTAAAACATGCAATAGCTGACTATTTAGGGATACAAACTTCCTTTTGCTTAGACCTTCAAATAAAAAAATGACAACAGCCAACACAATAGCCATCTGGTGTGAATGAATCAAAATTATACCTATTTTTTGTCAGATTGTCAAAAAATATATATTTTTTTGATGTGCTGCAGAATTCTAGTAATGACTTTATGTGTGCCATGAGATGAAAAAGGTTGAAAATTAGTGCTTTAATAGAATGAAAGATAAAAAGATGAACACTATTTGCAAGAAAGAGTTGGCAAAACTGGTGATCCATGAAGCAGCAGCCACCGGGGCACAGAGATGGGGGCGTGGGATCACAGCGCAGTGGAGGGGCCTGCCATCAGCTGTGCAGCGGTCAAATGTCGTAAGTCCCAAGGGAATGTGCTCTGTAGATGCCAACCCCGGAGAGATACGCAGCTGGACTACACAACAACCAAGGGAGAGAGACCTGTCTGCACTGAGGTTAACCGGAGCAGTGGAGCAGTGCTGGTGGTGTAACACACGTCCAGGAAACTTAGGTTGGAGAGGAAAAGGCGCATAGGGGTGTGAGATGTAGGACCTGGTGTGACAATGTGGTGATGTCATGTTTTCCAGCAAAGTGAAGATACAGAAGATCAAAAGAACCACAAAGAGGACCAACTCTAGTTAAGGCCTGTCAGAGAAACCCAGTAGGATAAGCTCCATGAAAGAACTCCCGTTTTTCTGTTCCAACCTTTGTTAGCCTACATTTCCTGTCAAGACCAAGCATCGAGCAATTCAAACTATATATTAAAATAAGGAAGAATCTAGCATGAAAGACATGGGTTTGACATACAACTATTTGAATAAATGACATATTCATTGAAATTGATATATCTTGTACCAATTTAGCTCCCCAAAAAGTAACAAAAAAGTTATAAAAAAGTTATAACAAAAAGTAATATCATTGATATTTAATATAAAAGTCAAATAATGGCCCTTGTGTTTGCATCAGTCATAGGTATGAAAAGTCTGCTTTCTGAGAAAATAAGGGTGATGTAAAACAGAGAGCAATCAGAAACAAGAAAGAGATGCAGAGAGAGGTTATTTTAAATGTGTATCATAATCTTATAGAACTGGATTTGCACTTACCTCACATGCAATAGAATATAATTTTGAAATCCATAAAATACACTCAGATGTAGAAATTTATGCCCTAGGAAATACTTACATTCCAAGCATCACTAGTAATGCTGCATGTACAGAATGTGGCAGTTTGTCTCTCTACCCCACCTGACATATTTTATTTGCTACCTTGGTCTTTTTGTAGGGTCATAAAACAACTAAATACACAGACTGAGCCTGAAAATATCATTTGTTTATAGTGCTTAACTCTTGCCCTCAAGATCCCTAAAGTTACTATATCAACTTAACAAGAACTCTGAAAATTCACTGGCTGTGCATAGTCAGTTGGTATCAGAATTCTAAAATTCAGTGCCAATACTTTCCTTTTCCTTCTGTTAATTTTTTTTCACATATTGCCAACAACTAGAGTGTGTGGAATTCCTGGACAGGTGGGATTATTCCCTATCCACATTTTAATCAGGCTAACTTTTTTTAAACAGTATCCAATTCTGTTACCTATGCACATCACTCCCTATGGTAAAATGATTAAATAAATAAGTACTTAGAGGAAAAAGACAGAAACATTGTCAAGGCAATGACAGGCCAAAAAGATGTAATGTAAAACTAAAAGTAATACAAGGAAAAGGATATTTCTGTACTATAAAAATCTAAGAACACCCATTTACATTAGGTTAGCTTTATATGCTCTTCTCCTTCTGGGGCACTATCTTGAAGAGTTAGTTACACTCATCCAAACATATTGCCAGCTGTAAGGTTACTGGATTGCCACATTCATCCTGCTGTTTAGTATCACTTGAGCACAGTCTGACAGCAGCATCACAAAATGAGTAATTCAGTTCTCTCCTATTCAAAATGTTAGACATCTAGTAAATTTTAATTCCCTTCATTTTCAATCTCCTGTGACAATCTTTCCTGGTGGAAGAAATTCCCCAAGAGGGGATTTATGACCATTGAATTGCTTTTGGAGGTTCTGTCTTTAGGCAGCTAAGGCGAGTTCAGAGAAAGCCTCTCTGTTTGCTGTTTTCCAGGTTGCACGTGTCAGGGAGGCCTATTCTGCTGTCCTTCAGGAGATGACGGAACTTAGGCTGCTCTGTTGAGAACAGACTGTGGGAACACTGGTAGAAGCAGGGAGATCACTGACGAGGTTATTGCAGTAACCCAGGAGCGAAATGACAGTGCATGCGCCCATCTTTAGGAGAATGGACGAATGCAATGCTATATTCACAAATGGAACATTATACAGTAATGAATACTAATTTTAACTCAACAATATGGATAAATCTTGGTAACATTGTTGAGTAAAAGAAGCAAATATAGTACCTGTGACATGACACCTTTTAGATCAAACCATGTGTTCTTTGGACATGCATTTGTATGCAACAGAACTTTTTTTTATTCAAAAATCAGTTTACATTCAACATTATTTTGCATTACTTTCATGTGTACAACATAGAGATTAGACAATCACATACTTTCCAAAAAGTGTAGGACTATCTTTTAAAAGGAAGAGGGCAATGAACACAAAATTTGTAATGGTGACATATGACGGGAGGACAAGTATAGTAAATGCAAATTATTGTTAATGTTGCAGTTCTCTGGATTGGGAAGTGGATCCAACAATGTCCACGTTTCAGAGCCAAGCGTTGTGATTAACCCCACTGAGTACACGCGCACCCCCGGGGCTGGGGATGGACCGAGGGATCCGGGAAAGTCCAGGCAGGCTTTGCAAAAGCTGAGTGCCTGCCTCGCGGGCTTCCGCTACCCGCCACAGGAAGAGGTCCAGGGCCCCGCTGCGCCCGCCCCAGACCACGAACGTGTGTGAGACTCCGCCGCCTTCAACCTCTGAGGTCTTCAGGACGGAGGCCAACACTCCTGGGAAATGGAGTCCGGGCGCCGAGGAGGCTTCTGGGAATCAAAGACCAAGGCTGGCGCATCTTCTGCGCAGACTCCAAAGAGTCCCGGGACGGAAACGCGGCCCGGTGGCGCGGTACCGTCTTCCACCGGAAGTGTCCGATTGGAATTAACCTCGTGGGAGAGGTGAGTCCGGGCTTCGGCACCCGGGTGTCCGGCCCTTTGTCCCCTGCAAACACCCAGTCCCCGCCATGTTCCCTCTGGGGCCGCGGCAGCCCTGCGGCGCCCGGGCCCCGGAACCCAGAGGAGCCCCGAGGCAAGGTGGAACTGGTTTCGGCGTCCGGGGGGCCTTCGCACCCGCCCCTTTGGAGAGGAGCGTGTGGTTTCCGTAGTTACCCGCCCTGCCTACTTTGCCGCGAGAGGTGTGGTGCATTGCTGCGGGCTGTCCGGCCAGCGGGTCTGGGGTGTCCGAGGCGAGGGGCGGCCTGTCCTGGGTAGACCGATGGGGCGGTGTCAGCCCCGTCCTGCCCCGGCGCCTACTTCTCCTAGGAGGAGTCGCCGCCCTTTCGCAGGAACTTGCGCCGTAGTGACCCCATCAGACCCGGTGGGTTCGTGGTCCTTCACCTGATGGACCCCACAGGCCGCTCCGGCCCGTCCCCTTTTGCCCTTCTGCATCTTTCTCACCCTTTAGCGTCCAGTCTAAGCTCCCCAGCTGCCGGAAATACTTGCTGCGACGAGTACGCAGACACACGCTGTCCTCCCCACCTCACACCCGTTAGGGTGTGCAGCAGCTCCACCGTGCGGCGTGTTTAGTCTCTCAGCTTTCAGCGTTTAGCAAGCATTTCCAGTGTGTGGTGTGGAGTGTCTTGCTCTTTAAATGTTTTCTATCCATGAGTGTTTTATGTCATTTCTTTCCAAAATCTTTGTCAGTTTCTTTCAAACTTAAATGCTATTTTTCTAATTCCTTTTACCCGTACATCAGAATACAAGTTTTCCAGGCGCACCCCATGACAATCCCGTCGGCATCTCCGGAGCAGGGCCAGCAACCTGCTTCTGACAAAGTTCCCACGTGAGGATTAGCTCTAACTAAACCCAGACGTCCTCGGGAGCCCCTGCAGCACCGCTCCCAGCCCAGTGCTTGGCTTGTGTTAAGATTGTTAATAAAGTGCGTGTCAGTGCAACAGTCAGTGGCCAACTTGATGGGATGTTTCGTAGACAGACCTAAAGGATTGATGTTTGCATTTCCCTGTTGTACTCCAGGCTTCTCTAAATTCCTGTCATTCCGTTTTTCGGTTCAGAAACCAGACAGACCATTCGCACGTGCCCACAAGTCTGAGGGAACTGACATTTAATAACTAGACTCACACAACACATGCGAATTCGATGTTGCTGGTTTATGATATTTCGTTTCATTGGTGAGATGAGTGGCCCCAGTGTCCAAGACCTGCACTGAGCAGTGAAACTGGGAAGGCAGAGAAGGGCCTGTCGGCACAAAAGTATCTGAAGTCATGCTGCCCGAAGCTTTTAATGGTTCCCGGGTGCCTGAAAGACAAAGTCTGAAACAGGCTGTGTGACATCTGAGGCTTTCAGGGCAGGGGCTCTGTGATCTCCTTGTACAAACCTGCTCATCCTGCTTTCCCACTTCTGTCCCTACCATTAACAGTTGCTCCTGTCCTTCATTGCTTGTAATTTCCTGTGTCTCCCACTTCCTACTCAAGCCCCATCCGTTCTTCAGTCAGTTTTTAAGTAGCTTCCCGTGACCAATGCACCCTCTTGTGCCCTTTCTGTCTCCAACCCCATGAAGCACTTTGGTCATTTTCCGCTGGTCCTTATTTTCTGTGCAACTTAGAAATGATTTAACCACATGTGGCATGTTGGCATTTAATATCGCCTTGTATTTATATTTAATGTTTCTTGTTTAAGTTATCTTGGGGATTTCTTTTTTTAGTTTTTATAACTGTATTTGAGCCAAACTTATGATATAGGCTGGGAGTAAGATCTCAAATGCTCCCTAAGTTATCTTGTTTTTCATTTTAAATTTTAAGCTGCTTTGAGGTAGAAATTATGTAACAGTTGCACTCACAAAGCAGGTATTTAGGTGCTTTTTTACACGTAGTAAATGCCCAGTGCATTGTTGTGCAATAGAAAATGACTGTTTCCATAATGTGATCTTTCATCTTCCTAGACAGTAATAATAAATTTTTTTACCTGCCCCCCCCCCAGGAGAGTACTTGAAACTAAATAAGACCTTCATAAAGCAGAAGTGGGTTTTCTGATTCTATCGCGAGACGATGACAGAATCAAAGAAAGCTGCTGCCCAGAGCCATCAGGAGGTTGAAGGGCCTCTGAGCATGAAGGGAGAGGAGGAAGATTTTGTCTGGAGCGAGGATGCCGGCTTGCAGAGAAGTGATTCCCTCTGGCAGGAGCTGTGCCGACAGCTCTCCAGGCAGTTCAGCTACTGGGACGCACCTGGGCCACGCCACGCACTGCGCAGGCTCTGCGAGCTCTGTCGGCTGTGGCTGCAGCCCAAGATGCACAGCAAGGAGCAGATGCTGGACCTGCTGGTGCTCTAGCAGTTCCTGCGCATCCTGCCCTCAGGGCTGTGTGCCTGGGTGCAGGAGCTGCACCCACAGAGCAGCGAGGAAGCCGTGACTGTGCTGGAGGACACGGAGAGAGGCAGCGAGGAAGTGGCGCTCCAGTTGCGGGGGGGACGGCAAGCTAAGTCCTCCACAGTGGATGCCACTGGCGAAGGGAGACTTGGAGAGGCTCATAGTTCAGGGTGCATTTATGTCTCCTTTGCTCTCTGGTTTGTGCTATGCCACACCTTACAACTGAGTCAGACTCAGTAATCCTTTCTCGGGTTTGTGTTTCCACAGGAGGCTCTCTTTGGGGGAGATGTTTCATTCCAACAGGGACTCGCTCCTAGCCCAGGTGTACTTTATTTTCCTCAGGTTCTAGTCCCTGAATGTGGGCAAGAAATATTCAGAAGAAAGGTGGTGGCTCCTGAACCAGCGCTTACTGTCCAGGTCCAGCCAGTGGAGACCAGGGACCCGCGTGGTTCTTCAGAGCCCTGTCTTGGGTTGGCCTGCAGTAAGGGGCACTGGGCCAATGACTCTCCCTTCTCACACTGTCCTAGCAACTGTTGGTGGTCCTTTGCTTGTTACCCAGTGAGAACTAGAGAGCATTTTTCTATGTGTTGCTGGCCCACTTAGAAGAGAGAGAATTTTCCTCCTTATCTGAGATAGTCACAGTTTTCCATTGGTTCTGTATCCAGCATATTTCCAGAACATGGGGCATTTTTCATCTATGAACAAATTAAAGGAAAGAAAAATGAATGAGTCAAGAGAATGTCAGGGGATGAGAGAAGACAAAGAGGAAGAAACATCAAGAATCAAAACATGTTAATAGAGAAGAGAGGCAGATGTGTGATGACACAATGGAACATAATTCTGAACAAGATCCATATTGTGTATTTTATTGTACTTTTTAAAAAAGATTTTATTTACTTATTTTTAGAGAGAGGGAAAGGGAGGCAACATCAGCGTGTAGTTGCTTCTCAGGTGTCCCCTTTGGCTCGCAGGCCGGCCAGCACGCAAGCCACTGAACCACCCCAGCCAGGGGTTATTGTACTTTTGATCCAACAAAGCTTTCTCGTGTTTTTATGGAGAGCTGGTCATGTGACTCTTCCACAGAATGCTCATCGCTGTTCTAAAACTCATCTGTTTAAAAGTTGTTCATCTTGATATCACTTTAGGTATGAGAGGCCCCCAAATAAAGTCAAGAATAAATTGCAGTAATTTTTCTCCAATACCCAGATTCTACTTTCTGGTTTGTTCTGGAACCATTTCCATCCCTGCCATCTAAGACTGGACCTTCCCCCACCCTAGACCAGGGCTGCCTAAGCCCCTTTCCTGCCCTAGCTCGTTCCAGAGAAAGAAACTCCAAAACAAAGAGGGTCTGCTGTTTCTAGCACCATATAGAGTCATGAGCTGGCAGGCAGGAATTGTGAGTACCGGCCCATCAGTGGCTTCAGTCGTGGAAGAAAAGAGATTATAGGTTCATGGCAGGGTGTCAGAGGGTGACAGGGTTTAATGACTGTCTCGTCATGGAATTTAGGAGGAATAGTTCAGTCAAAACAGTCACCTACATAGGAAGTGGTGATGGTGGCAGAAATGTAGAGAAAGGGGACATTTAGCAGAAAGTGCCGAGAGAACCTGATTACAGTGGAAGAAGGAGGAGGAGGTGGCTGGATGTTTTCTGCTCCACACACCGCACCCCAGAGCCATTTACAGCTTCAATTTTCTCCCACATCTGTGGCTCATCTGCTTTCTCTGTGGTGGTGCCCCCTTTCTCCCTCTGAGCCTAACCCTCAACCTGTGTCACAGACCCAGAGTCCCCTGAGATCCCTCCATCACACTCAGTGTTGGTTCTTTGTCTCCCCCACCCCGTTCTTGCTGGTGGTGATCCTGTTTTATCTGTGCCTTCCCGGGTGTCTATCTGCACTGCACACATGACCCACTTTTACCAGTTTTTCTTGTGTGTCCCTCATGCCTCTCATTTCAAAGGCCATGTTTTCAGGGTGGCTACATGCAGTACCAACATGTAACTGTCAAGTGTATCTGAACAGTGTCTTTTCTTCCAGCTCAGCAGACAGGTTCTTACTTCTTTTATTGTTATTACTACCATTTTAGATAATGTGGGTGAAAACAGTGGGTCTGTGCCAAATCTGGACGTTCATGAGAAATGGAACCACAGAGAATTATCTCAGAAAGACATTCAGGATTCATACCAGAGGAGCCTGCTGAGCCCGAAGACATCTCTGAGTGTGTAGGCCGGATGAAGAGGCAGCAGGAAAACGAGCCTGAGGAGTCTCAGAGACCATCATCTGCTTAGGATGGAGGTGTTGGCGAAATCTTCACCCACAAAAATGTACTTTTGGGTGAAATGAGAAGCCAGGATGGGTGTTCCCAAAGCATAAACCTGAACTCAAGTGAATTTACACATCAGAAACCTTGTAAACACAGCACCTGTGACCACAGTCTCAAGTAGAATTCAGGTTTTATTAAGCATCAAAGAATTTATGCTGGAGAAAAATTTCCCAACATGGAAAATCTCTCAAGCACCCGCACCTCATCAAACAAGCAGCAGTTTTCAGTGGAGAGAAAACCCATCGGTGTAGTGAGTGTGAGAAGGCCTTCAGACACGACTCCAAGCTCACCAGACACCAGAGTCTCCACACTGGAGAGAGACCCTATGAGTATAGTAAGTGTGGAAAAGGCTTTGGAGGGAGCTTAGATCTCCTTAGACACCAGCAAAGAATGTGGGAGAGCTTTCAGCCTGAACTCACACCTCATCCTGCAACAGAGAATCCACACCATAGAGAAGCCCTACGAGTGCAGTGAGTATGGGAGGGCTTTCAGTCAGAGCTCACACCTCAATCAGCATCAGAGAATTCACAAGAGGGCGAGGCTGTTAATGTGAGGGGCTTCAATTCATACAGAACACTGAGGAAAGAGCAAAGTGTGGGAAACACTGAGTACAGAATAAAGACTGGGCGGGATGAGATGGCTCTTTTCTCCCTCTGGTTCTCTGGGGTGCTGTCCTGCATGTGGTCTTGACCTCTGTGTGCTCCCTGTGGGGCCGGGGCCGTGTCTCTGCTTCCACTGACCCCAGAGTCGAACCCAAGCGCAGCATTGGGGGAGGCTAATAAGTAGGTCAGTCTAGCAGGGGAGAGAGGGAAGATAAGGACCTTCTTGCAAAATGAGGGCCCACAGTGTGTGGGGGCAGGGGGGCATTATAGGGCTTCTTGACAGCTACAGGTTCTCTAGCTTCTGACAAGTGTGGAAGGAATTGGCACTAAAAATAAAGGGCTTGACACTTTATGCCAGCACAGAAATGCATGTATTCAAAATGCCTTGCACATGTTGCCTTTATCCTATAATATCTTTGGTAAATACTAGAGCAGTTACTGTCATTGTATTGGAGAAAATTGTGGATATAAAGGAGTTCAATAACTCGTCAGCAGGTACAAGGTTATGAGGTGAAAAGCAAGATTTGCCAAAGCTACAGCTAGTCATCTGGAAACAGGGTTAAACCTTTACCAGTAGGTGTCTGGCAGCTGCAGAGTGTTCGGCTACAAGAGGCAGTTCTAAAGGATCATCTCCATAATGGGGTTTAACATTGGAAAAGTTTCCATGTCACGAGGAAAAGACCTGGAAGCTTTTCTCATGTTCCTTCCTACAGCAATTCCTAGTCGCATTACCTCAGTGTAGAGCCATGTGGGCAGCCTGGTGCCTGCACTGAGCTGAACCACACTCATCACCCACATGGAGTTTCTCTCCCCTGGATTCTCATGCTGGACAAGGCCAGAGCTTCCATTAGAAGCTTTCTCATGTTCTTCACTCCAGCTGGGATTTTTAAGTGAGCAACAACGTGAGGTCTCACACTTACTACAGTGTACAAGTCTCCACAGATGGGTTCTCCCATCTCCAGAAGGGTGGGTGCTGAATAAAGACTTTCCCGCACTCATCACAATTGTAAGGTTTTTCTCCAGTGTGGTTTCTCTTGTGACTAATAAATAGGTCAGCCTATGCTTGATAAGAGGTGAGTTTTGGATGAGATTTTCCTGACATTACCTCTTGGTCTGGGGCTTCTCCACAGTTGTCTTCCTTGTAGGTCCCAAGTGAGTCCTGTGTGCTGGTCTCGCTCAAAGGTGGTGACCTGCCTGTGCTGCCACCTCAGCCCTGAGTACTCCAGGTCCTGTGGTTGGAAGGTCCTGAGCTTCGTTTAATGCTCTGTTGTCCCAGCCTTGAAATCCTTAATTCTATCCCTAACCTTGTGTTTTGTGAGTTAAGTAGGACAGTGGAGCACGTGCCTGAGCAAAGGACACAGCTGCGCTTCCTGCCCCCATTTGTGTTGAGCATTGAGTATCAGTGGCCCATGAGTAGTCGCCAGGACTCAGTAAGGCCCAGAGTATGAAGGGGAGCAGAGGAGGCCACCCAGATGCGTCCAGGTTGATGTGTGAATTATTTTGAGCTGAAGGCACTCAAGACCCAGCAGACTCAGGAAAAACTTACCTCTCTGGTAACTACCTGAAAGAATGTAAATAGTGGGCCCATCCCAGAGAGAGAGCCATGAACAGAGTCAACTCTGATCTGAATGACCTCAGGGCAACCTCCTGATCACCAGCCCTGGGCTGTCCTTCTGAGAACTGCCCTCCCGGTTGGCACCAGGCCCCCTTCTGGTTCCTTACCTAAGGACGGCAAACAAGATTCAATTGCTTGACTGACTTTGGGTCTTCTATTTTTGGGTGCTTTTGTATGCACAAAACTAAAATTGTTTTTCTCCTTTTAATCTGTCTTATGTAAACTTGATTATTATACCCAAGAACCCAGAAGGAAAGAAGGGAATTTTTTTGCACCGCTACACACACAAGGTGAGCATGTTACATCTGCATCTGAGTCAGTCAGTTGCCGATAGCCAGGTGAGACTATACTTTCTGCTGCAACCAGGGCTTGCTTGTAAGGCAGAAAGTTGGCAAATGCCAGCGTCTAAAAAACAGGAACAGCCAAGGCGCCCAACAATATTCCTTCTTATTTGTGTCACTTCCCTGTATTAGGCAACTTCACCCAAAATGGCAGCGCAGGTGAAGGAGAGCTGACCTCTGTTCCCTGTCCTCTCAGTCTTTGCTCATCAGGTAGAATGTGTGTCTGTCAAGAGCAACTAGTCAGTTTTACAGCATTTCCAGTGAATATTCCGGATGGGCAAACATAGCATTCCAATTGTGAGTACGAGAAACAGTCTAGTATTCCTATATAATAATTTTATTTGTGTTGGGACTGTAAACCTACTTTTGCCCACCTCAGTGTGGGAGGCTCAGGTATGAGTTGTGTGTAATTTGGATGATTCCACGTGCAATTTAAATGCTTTTATATTTGCATTTAAACTGGCATTGCACAATATCTTTGCCAATAGTAAAATTCATAGTGATCATTTAAAATTTAATTTTCCTTTACTTCAAATGAAATTAAATAACAAAAAACATGACAACAAATCAAGAGAGAGCCGGTGGGGTGGGGGATAAAAAGGTTTTGTAGTTTAACACCTTTAGCACGATGTCCTGCTTTTGCCCAAATCCGTATCAGAAGCTTCTAAGCGTCAGATATCGTTTCCCCGGGCGTACTGTGGGCTCCTCAGGCCAAGACCCATCTCTTAACACTTTCCTCTGATTCCTGCCGTGTGTTCCCGCTGTGCCCCAGCCACAGTAAAACAGCTGTCATTCCGAGCATCTGGCCAGGCTTTTCCCAAATACTCTTGAGCATCGCCCCCGCCACCAGCCTGCTCTCCATATCCCGGGACCCGGTGGTCCGGTTGGGTCAGGACCACGGCCAGCTGGTGGCCAAGTCTGGACCTGATCACACCCCTGTGGATTCCTGGGTTCTTTCTTTTATAATGTGCTCGAGTAGACTTAGTACTAAAGTCAAACGTTTCCAAAGACACTGAGGTCACTTTAACAATTCAGAGGACGTGAAACACTTGCCCTGGGGATAGGGAGAGCCCGTTCCCTCGGCCGTCCCCACTTTGAAAGTGCCGGCCTCCAGCGGTGACCCACAGCTGACAACTGGGGCAGAACGAACATGGTCCCTTTTCTCTCCTCTGCCCGCAAGACAGCACTCAGGTACGCAGCCCACTCAGCGCTGGTCCGGCAGGCCCCCCTCCATGCGATTGGCTCAGTGGCAGCCAGGAGGCGCGAAGAACGGGAGAGGGCGGGGTTGGTAGGGAAGTGAGGGGCAGAACCAAGCGAGTTCGCCAGTGCACTTTGGCGGAGCTGAGTCCGGTCCGAATTTACAGAGCACTTCCTTGGGACTGGTTTCATGAGTGTACTTTCTGCCGCCCGATTTGCGTGAGCACTTCCTCCGGACCGGATTATTGGGTGCACTTCGGCCGGGTCCAAATTACGGGAGCACTTTCTCCGGACAGCATTCTTGGGTGCACTTCCGCCGGGCTCAAGTTAAGTGAGCACTTCCTCCGGACCGGATTCTTGGGTGCACTCCTTCGGAGCCAACTTACATGAAGCTTTCTGCGGGCTTGGGTTCGGGGGTTTATGTAAGAAATTTATCTGGATTGGATTCGTCAGTGCACTTCTTCCAGGTTGGGCTCGCGTTATGCTTTTTGAAGGTGGGCTTTGGGGTTGCACTTAAGCCGGGCCGGTTGGCGGTCGCACTTTCTACTAAACTTCCGCGGTGTTGGCTTGGAGAGGGGCTGGTTGGGGTCCGGCCGCCGTCTCATTGGCCCGGGTAAGACTGGCGGAAAGAGCGGGGCGCGGTGGCCTGGGACTCATAGTGCCCGCGCAGGTGCAAGAGCCGCCTCCTTGTTAAACCCGCGTTGGAAGCGCCGCCCCAACTCCCACGTGCTTTGTGGTCTGTCAGGTCCGTGTGGCTTACAGCACACGGACGACCGAAGGCCGGCGCTTGTGGTGGTTCTATTCGATGATGTGCCAGTTCGGTTTGCGTTCAGGATAAATGGAGAAGGTGTTGTACGCTGGCCGATTAACTCTATATTATCTTATTGTTTATAAGATCTAAACTAGTGGAAAGCAACATTTAGTAGCGGCCTCGTATTCTTTTCGTGACTGATTCCTGAAAGAGCCTTTCTCCAAGGGCTGGGGAGGTTGAAGGTGTGTTTGAAAGATGCCTGGTGGAAGCAAGTGCAGGGGGAACACTAGGCGGCGCCCTTGCACTCTCCGAAGTTCTGTGCCCAGAAACCGAGGGGCCAGCGCTAGGACGGCCCGGTCACATAGCAGCTGCAGCCCTTTACTGGGTTCTACTAAGTACCAGGCATGGAATTTAATGCTTTCCGTAGTTATTCTAAAAGCACTCTATATAATAAGGCCTGGGGTTTAGTTAGTCACATTGTAGCACTATTTTCTTGTTTTTGCAATTGTGCTACGATTATAGGTAAAGAGTATAGAAATGTTCTGTACCTTTCAGGGAAATTCTCTAAGATTTTTTTACAGGGGAAATAAAAGTTTAGAGAGGTTAACCCACGTCATGTAAGAGAACATGACAGGATTTCAGTTGGGTCTTTAACCACAGCCCATGCTGATCTGTGGGTAATCCAGGTTTCCTTAAACCAGTGGCCCTCCTAAGTCTGCTATTATTAGAATATTGAAACCATGTACATCATTTGTTTTCACTAAATATGACACTGCTGTTCCAGTCCTTGTCACCGTGACTTTACTGTGCCAGGGAAGTCTTGCCATAGAAGATAAAAGTTGTAAATAATCATGCTTGTTTCAAAAACTTGCCCTCCTTTCTTTTTTCTTTTTTTGAACATTTTATTATTTATTTTTAGAGAGAGGGGAAAGAGAGGGAGAGAAACATTGATCAGTTTCCCCAACAGGGGGCTGAACCCACAACCCAGGCCTGTGCCCTGACTGGGAAATTGGCAACCCTTTGCTTTGCAGGAGGACACATAATCCACAGAGACACACGGCTCCTCTGCCCTCAACAACATTCCTTTTTGACCTTGCATCTGGTCTCCATCCTTCATGGACCCCGTGCACTCCGTCTGTCATGACACTCTGACTGGAGTCCCTGGCTGCTCTGCCCAGGTTAGGTCTGACTCTACTGTGCCCTCATTCATCAGTTATCCAGATGGTCATCTTTTCCTCAGTTTCTTCTTTTAATGTCTGTAATTGACACAAAGCCTACTGCTTTTCCCTGCACTATCCCTGCAAAGTTACAAATTTGCCTTTCACTCTGAGTCCTAAAGTGGGGTTATTTCAGGGGAAATATTCTTAAGTGGAGCAATCTCACTTTTTTCCCCCCCCAGAAACCACAGACCATTGAGGAATTGGCTGTGAGTCTGGCCTGGGGTGTTGGAACTCTGCCCAGAGGACCCTCACAGGAAGCAGAGGCAGAGGAATTCTGGGGTCAGGAGAGGTGAGCATGTCGGGTCTGGTGAAGGACCTTCTCTGGTGAGTCTTGAATGACCTACAGTGTGGCTTCAGGCTGACAGGTTCCTGGTGTCTCCTTTGCGAGAACAGTTGTGATGTTTGTCTGTCCCCACGTCCCTGCACTGTCACCTGCATCCTCCCACGGTCTGTTCTGCCATCCCTGTCCTCTGGACAACTGGCCTCCCTGCCAGACCCATTCTTGGGCCTTTAATTCTCTTCTGTGCTGTGCTTGTTCATCGGGTCACTCTTGTTCCTGACTTTTCTTCACCCTTTTCTGGCATCTCATCCCCTAGTCCTCTTGTTTGCCATCTTCCAGTGTCCTCCTCAAACGTCAGACCGTTTTGTTGATGTACATGAGCCATGTGCCTCTAGTACGTGCATTATAGGTTGATGGGGTACGGCACACTATGGCACTGTTATAATGTTATCTCCTGTGTATTTCAGTGATATTCGAATGCTGTGCTTTTCATTTCAGATGATGGGATCAGAATTGAAAAAGAACAATTGATTCAAAAGCAGCATCTTACTGTAGATGTGGAATCCCAAGAAAAGTTATGTGGCCGAACCAGCAGAGAGGTTCCTGGATGTGGGGACACCCTAGGCCTCAAAGGGTAGACAGAAAGACATCAGAGAAACACTTCGAGAGAGAGAAGATCTAAGTGTGATGAATGTGGGAAAAGACTTGCTCAGAACTCAAGCCTCACTGGACCTGAGAATTCATCCTGGAGAGAGACCCTGTTCCTGCAGCCTCTGTGGCAAAACTTCCACTGGGAGCCCACCTCACTGGCATCTGGGACCTGCCTTAGAGGGAAGCCATTCTGGGGCAAGTATGGCGGAGCTTTTCCTCACAGCTCAGCCTCAGTCGGCATCAGGTGACCTGCACCAGGACAGGCCACACGGAGCAACCACTACGGAAAATGCTTTGGTCTGAACTGAGGCCTCCCCCACCCTCAGAGGACCCGCAGCGTGAGGGGCCCCATTGGTGTACCGATGGCGGGTTGGCCTCCAGTCGCTGCGCACGTCACACATCTGGGAACGGAGGAGTCCTCGTGGGGGAGGGGCCCTGGTGACGTGGACGGAGCTGCTCCTGGCACTGGTTCCTGGGGACACCAAGTCGCAGGCTACAGACCTGATGGTGACAGCTCTGAGCCCCCTGCTATGCACCCCAGAGTCACGTAAACACAGCTTCCAGGCATGTGACCTGCTGGACTGGCTGGTGGTCGTTTTGTGAAATTGCTCAGAAGTAAGTAGCTCACGTAATTGAAGTGTTTACCTTCCTCTTCCCCGTCCCTTCTCCTCCTCCCTACTTTTCTTGCAGTTGGAGGAATAATCTCCAAAATGTGAATTTAGAGTTAACATAGGAACTATTTTGAAAAAAAAACATGAATTGTTGGTTAATGATGAAATTTATTAGCGTATCACTTAGTAACACTAAAAACATGGTGAAACACAAAAGCTGTTTTATGACACTGGAACAAATTACGGTGTGCCGAAGGTGGGGGGTGCCAAGGGGGAGGGGGAGTGACTAGACTGCTGATTCCCAGGGCTGCTCACATCTCGGACCAGAGATAGCATTCGTGCCCCACATAGGTTTGTTTTGTTTTGTTTCTAACAGAAAATTATAGCAACTCTTTAAGAATTAGCATATTTCACATACAAACTGACTTTCCAGGTTCCCTTACAAAAATAGTGTGCACCATTTTTGTCTAATAATATTTGTGTTCTATAAGTAATTGCTTACTTAAATCCTTTGTGATATTTCTATCGGCTTAGTCATATTTTTCTTACATCTTTTTTTCTAAAGATTTTATTTATTTTAGAGAGATGGGGAAGGGAGGGGGAAAGAGAGGGAGTGAAACATTAATGTATGGTTGCCTCTAGCACACCCCATACTGGGGATATGGCCTGCAACCCAGGCATGTGCCCTGACTGGGAATCAAACTGGCGATGCTTTGGTTCACAGGCCTGCGCTCAATCCACTGAGCTACACCAGCCAGGGTCTTATTTTTCTTATTTCTTAATGAGAGGTACTAGCATATTAGGAAGATCAGCCCTGTGTTTAGATCTGTGACATGTTTTACTCTGAGCTTATATTGTAACTTTTATTCTCTTCATACAAAATTTCTAAATTTTTGCATCGCCAGTTGTACCTAGTTTTTCCTCTGTGGCTTTCCGGTTATGTCCTTAGGGTTTTGTGTCACACTTAGGCAGGTCTGCCCCACTGCAAGGTAGCAGTATCCTCCCAGCTTGCCTCTCACCTCTGCCCTTGCCCAGACCCCTCACTCATGAGCCTATTCTTGACACAGCAGCCAAAAAAACCTGTTCAGTACCTAGGTCTGGTCATGCTACTCCTCTGCTTAGAAAATCCAAATGGCTTTCCATCTTGGAGTAAAAAACAGTGACCTCATACTCATCCAAGGCCCTTGTATCTCCCCTCGTCTTTTTGCTCCCACAGCTCCAGGCGCATCCATCATGTTCCTACAGTGTTTCAAACACTCCACTCGGGCCTTTGCATTCGCTGTCTTTCTCCCTGAAACACCTGCCCTCCAAATGCCTCAGTGCCACCCTCCATTTCCAATCGTAAACCCCATATTTCTTTTATTTTTCTCCTTTGCACTGACACCCACCATCTAGTACACTCTGTTTTCCTATATTGCTTGCCTCCATGTTTGTCTGTTACACACAAATCCCATGAAGGCAAGAGCTTTGTTTTGCTTTAACGTGTACCTCCAGCTTCCAGAACAGTGCCTGGCATAGTAGGTGAATGATAAATATTTGTGTGAGAAAGGCAAATTAAGCATTGCTCACCCATCAGATTGGCAAAGGTTAAAATGTAATGTGTTGACAAGTGTGTAAGTGGCATCGTAGTGGGTTCAATGTTTGGTAACTTGGCCCTGAAGGCACAGATGCGGGTACTCTGCTCGGTAATTGTTTCTGGAATGTGTGCGAGGGGTTGGCCGTTGTATATAAGAAATGTATTGCTCACAGACACTAACTGTGCCTGCGTCTGAAAAGGCAAAGATTGGAACAACCTATATGAACACCAACGGGGTAATTATCAAAATTTGTGGCACATACGATTGAACGTTATGTTGGTTTTTTTTTTTTTTAAAAGAGCAAGACCGAGAATGTCTTTTATGAACAATCCCCCAAAGCAATCGGTAAGAGGGGGAAAGGAGCAGAAATGCTGTTATTTGTGTAGAAGACAGGATGTTCCGCGTTATGAAAAACTGGTCGAAACCAGGTGCTAGGGGACACTTACTCTTTTTAAATATTGAACTTTGTGAATCCTGTCCTTATTCATACAGCTTTTTAACTAAATAAACTGGAAAGACCTTGAGAGGGGAAAAGATTTTTAAAGCCGGGCTCGCGGGCCCCCATGCTCCAGTCAGCCAGTCGACCCCGGCTGGGTCCTCCGCGGAGGGCCTGCGGCCACTGGGAGGCGCTGCGGCCACTGAGACGGGCTTCCTAGAGTGACCGGAAGTGCTGATTGGTGTTTGGGGGGCGGCCTTTATCCCCGCCCGCCTAGGGCACTCTGTCGCTGGTTCCTTCCTGTGCCGGAAGGTGTTGGGGGCCGGACAGTGTTGGGGCCCCGGCGGGGAGGCGTGGGACAGGTCCTGGGCCTGGTTAGGGACTGGGCTGGGGGAGCGCCCGCGCCACCTCCCAGAGAGGACCGCGGCTGCGGCTGCGAGTGGTCCCAGGTCAGCCCGAACCAACCCGCTGAGCCGGGTGTGAGCCGGTGTCGGTTTCACGGGCGCCCCTGAGAGTTCGCCAGACCAGGCGGGACCGGAGGTCTGACTTGTGCTGAGTTAGACTGGGACCCGTGTCCTCGCGTCAGCCCCGGTGCTTTTTGGGTTCCCAGCCTCTCGTTATTTCTCTGAGACGAGATTACAAGATTCTCCTCGAATCGATCCCAAGTAGAGGACTGATCTGAGGGTCAGCACAGAATGGCCACAGCCCTGGCCCCTGGGGGACAGCGAGGCCCAGCAGCGGTGGAGGAAGGAGAGCGCTGCGGAGGCTGGGGCTGCACCGGGCCGCGCAGGCGGGAGCTCTGTCGGAAGCTATTCAGGGCGCTCTGCTACCGGGACGCCCCGGGGCTCCGGGAGGCTCTGGCCCGGCTCCGCGTACTTTGCCGGCTGTGGCTGCGGCCAGAACGCCACACGAAGGAGCAGATTCTAGACCTGCTGGTACTGGAGCAGTTCCTGAGCATTCTGCCTGCAGACCTGCGAGCGTGGGTGCAGGCGCAGCACCCTGAGACCGGGGAGGAGGCGGTGGCTGCGTTGGAAGAGCTGGAGAGGGAGCTCGATGAACCTCCGGAGCACGTGGGAAGGGGCGTCGTGGCTGTGAGGGGCAGTGTCGGGCAGGGCTTGTGGAGCAGCCAAGAAAAAGTATCTGGAAGAACAGTTACTTACCGTGTGACCCTGGAGAACAACAGGCTGGGGGACAGGGCACAGTAAAGCGACGTCAGACTGAACCTGTCAGTGAGAAGTTAGAGGAAGGCAAACGCGTATCAATAAAACAGAATTTTTCTAACATCCACACGTAATAGGATGGGCTACCTTGTAATAAGAAATCTCGCTTCCCAGAGGAGTACTCAGTTTGGGGTTAGTAGATGTCAAGGATATTACAGAACACCACTGTCCAACAAATAAAATGTGAGCCCCATTTAAATAAAAACAAGTAAAATTAAATAGTATGTTTTGTGTAACCTAAAATATGTAATCAATATAAAATTGAGGTATTGTACCTTTTTTGTATTATGTTCAATATTTGCATGTATTTCACACTTTGCAGATCTCAGTTCTTTCTTGCCCTGTTTGAAGTGCTCAGTAACCACATTGTGCTGGTGGCTGCCCCACTGGTCAGCAGTGACCATAGAAACGCCAAGGTGGTGGGAGTTGGTCTCCATTCGGAGGTGCAGGACTGCAATCCTGGGCCTCAGCACATCCCTGTGGAAAGATACACTGAATGTCACTCTCAGTGTCCAGAATGATGGTGATTCGCCTCTAGGGTTCTCTCCATTTTTGGTCATGATTGCCATTTGCAGCTTAACAAGAATTGGTCCTTTTTTCTATGTCCACGGTCCCTGGCAGATGCTCATTTTGATCTTTTCTCTGGAGTTCTTCAGTTCTTTCAAGAAAATCTACCTTATGAGCCCAATCATGCTTCCTTGTTCCCAGGTCCAAGCCCAGTCAGAAAGACAGGACACACTCCTAGACAAGTTGGCCCCCTCGGGGAGGCCACATGAGTCACTGGCTGCCCAGCTCCTCCCCAAGAAGACCCAGCAGGAACCCCAGGCGAGTGGTAAGGAGCAGCTTTCATGTATGAGGGAAGAAGCACCTCCTTCATTAGAGGAGCCTGTTTGCTGTCACTTTCTCCTTTCCAGCTTTCCCCCCTTGTCCTCTACCTCCCTGTGGGAGAGGTCATCCCCCTTCTACCCTTGCCCCCCACGAAAATTATATTTTTGTTTTTCATTAGACTTAAAAACATTCTTTGGCCTAACAGGTGGGGCATGATACTTAATACCCGTTGGTATCTGGTGATCCTGTCTCCAGATCACCTTACATTGCCATTTTGAGCAGGGGGACTTGCATGACCTCTTGTGTTAGTCTGTGAGGGCAGCTGGAACAGATACTGCAGACTGGGGGCTTAAACAACAGAACTCTGTTTTCTCACAGTTTCAGAGGCTGGGAAGTCCAAGACCAAGGGGCTCTTCTGATGAGGGCTCCCCTGTTGTCCCCACATGGCCTCTTCACTGTGCCCACCCCCACCCGGTGTCTCTCTCTGTTCTTGTACCTGCTGGGTTAGGGCCCGGCCCTTACGATCTCCTTTACCCCTAATTACTTATGTAAAGACCCTTTTTCCAAATGCAGCCCCAGTGGGATGAAAACTACAATTTATGAATTGTAGGAGCACAGTTCAATCCATATAACACCCCCCCACACTGGAGGAAGTGGAGCAGAGAGCAAGAGTCAGTCAGCAAAGCAGGCGTTTGGTTGGTTTGTGTCCGCACGTCAGGCTGACAGGGTTTTGGTTGTGGTTTGCTCCCCATCCCACTAAGTTGCTCCCTAATTAAAATGAGGGTGTCTCATGCATCCTCAGGCTACACTGAAAAGGACACAGAGTGCACCCATTTCACCCAAACTCTGTTTCCAGTGCCCCAGCCCTCTGTGGAAACACTTGTGTCTATGACGCCTCCCTGACTCCATTCTCACCTCTATAAATCTCCCCAGTGTGGCTCTCTCATTCTCTGGGGTCCCTGCCTGGTGGTTTGTCTCATCTGAAAAGTTATTTTAGGCTAAGATACTTCTGGCTGATATCTGGAGGGCATCGCATTCACATGTATAATCTAAAGGAGCTTGTTAGTGCTTTAATGTAGAGTGTTGGCTGTTGTTGGCTTTAGAGGTGAGGTTGAGATCCTGTTCTGTTCATGCCTCTTTTCATTGAACATTTGTTGAGCAGCAGCTCTGTGAGGTGCCTAAGAGAATAAGATGCTTGAGTTCTTCGGGTAGCTCCCCACAGCAGGCCTGTGAGGCATCAGTGTGTTTACGTGAGCTGAGATGGGGGACGTTCCAGGCAGAGAGGACCATAGGGGAAAGAAGCAGAAGAGCATCACACACCCTAAGAGAAGCACCAGCTCTGAGTTTGGTTTTAATGTGAAGAATTTTATGGGCGGGAAAATCGAAGGCCATTGGTGAAGATTCCTGAGCACCATGTGGAGGAAACGAACTTCACGCCTTCAGGTGGAGGTCTGTTACAGTGTTTTACGTAGAGAAGTGGCTGACACAAAAACCACTGTCTGTGGTTCCGTTTCTTAAAAATGACATAGAAAAAGATTGGAAGGACTATATGTCAGTGTAGACAAAGGATATTTCAAGATAATTAAATTGTTTTCTTCTCTATTTTCCGAAGTCTGTAAGTGAAATAACAGGTATAATACAGAGAAAAGATGTTCGTACCAGGGGTAGGGGGAGACCACTTTCAAATATACAGGGTAGTCTGCCAGAGCAGGAATAAACTGGGGAGGGAAAAGGGGGAAATCAAGAATACTTACTGTAGAATGAACAATCTGATTGGATATGGGGGGGTGGTATTTTAGTACAGTCCACGTCTGGGCAACTTTGAAGATAATGGTGTCATCCAGAAAGAAAAGTCACAAGGGGCTGTACAGGCAGACCTCGTTTCATTGGGTTTAGCATATTGCGTTTCACAGATGTGTTTTTTACAAATAGAAGGCATGACCCTCCACCTGCAAGAAGGTTACAGCTTGCTTGATTGTAGTCATTGCATTGTGTTGGTGGTCTGTAACCAAACCTCAATATCTCCAGGGTCTGCCTGTATCTGTGTGGGAAGAAGAGCTGGCATGAATTCAGGCTTTTGTTTTTTGTGTTTTTTCTTTTTTAATCCTCACCAGAGGATAAGCTTATCAATTTTAGAGAGAAGGGAAGGGAGTGAGAGAGGAGAGAAACAGTGATGCAAGAGAGAAACTGATCAGTTGCCTCTCACATGTGCCCCACTGGGAACTGAACCTGCAACCCAGGTGTGTGCCATGACCACGTATCGAACCTGTGACCTTTTGGTTTACAGGGTAATACTCCAGCCAACAGAGCCACACTGGTCAGGGCTGAATTCAGTTTTTATGTTGTGAATTTGCAGTGCCTGTGAAACATCCAAGTAAGTAAAATCCTGCAGGCAGTATAGTTTAAATTAATGTTCTAAATCTGGGAGAAAGGCATAGGAGGAGGTGGAGATTTAGGAGTCATCTGGGTAGATGACAACACGTGGGTATAGCCAAGGTTGACCAGGAAGAACATATAATGCAGTGAAAGAACCTCGGTGAAGTAAGGGTGGAGGGGGATTCTATAAAGGATGTAGGAGACATAGAAAAGCAGAAGGCGGGTGTCACTGAAGCCAAGGGAAGAGTCAGCCAAACGTAGTCACTTTTCTTGACAGAACACAGGTAAGGACTGATGATCTCAGAAAAAAGAATTCAATCCAGCACATGCACAAGGTCACCCGCTGTCCCCTCCTGCTTCTCCCTCTCACTCTGATGGTTCTTGCTCACCACGTTCCTCCCACACTCTTATTTATCCTGGGCGTGTCTGTAGTCCCTGTTTACATTTACCACTCTGCCTTTGTATAGGTTTGCCAGATGACCCCTGGATCCACATTTTTGTCTTTTCCTCTCTTCCTAATCTATTCCTAAATATTATATCCTGCTGCTATCTTTCTGCCTGGCCTTTTGCTGCCTTCCCTTTATCTTCATAATCTTTTGATGGTGCCAAATACCTCATTTGTGTGACTTTCAATTTTTAATAAATCATATGTAATACTTGTATGTTCTGTCTCCTGTAGGTTCTTTGCTTCTAAAGCTTAAAATAGGGCCTGTTTGTTGCAGGTGATAAAGCCAGGACTGAGAATGAAGAGCTGTCCCGGAAGGAAGATGTGCCCAAGGATAGGGAATTTCTCGGGAAGGTAAACAGCAGAGTGAGCAAAGATATTCCTCAGCATCCCAAATCCAAAGATGCCTCTGAAAGTGAGGGCAGGCTAGAGAGGCAACGGGGGGAAAGAAGACACTACAAGTGTGACGACTGTGGGAAAAGCTTTGGTCACAGCTCAGCCCTTAGTAAGCACAGGAGAACTCACACTGGAGAGAAACCCTATAAATGTGATGAATGTGGGAAAGCCTTCAACCAACGCTCACATCTTGTCGGACATCACCGAGTGCACACTGGAGTGAAGCCCTATAAATGTGATGAATGCGGGAAAGATTTTAGTGGGCGCTCAGGTCTTGTGCAGCATCAGAGAGTCCACACAGGTGAAAAACCCTACGAGTTTGAGGAGTGTGGGAGGCCTTTTCGGGTAAGTTCAGCCCTTATTAGACATCAAAGAATTCATGCAGCAAAAAAACCCTACTAGGAATGGGTCAGTAACACCAGTTCCTTAGCAGCTCAGGTCTAATTAGAGACCTTATGTGTATCCTGAATGTAGTCAAAGCTTCAATCATCATTAAAAATTTCCCTGGCATCACAGAATCACCCAAGGACATTTCAGTTCTTTTCTATGATGTACCAGTGGTGGAACCGGCCAACCAGATATGTAATTACTTGAAATAGATGAAAACGGCTTTTGAAATTACTAACTAAAACAATACCATTTGTTTACCATCATTGTTGATATAATGGCCTAAATACCTAAATGCTTATTCCTTTTTTTATCTTCAGTAGGGGATATAATCATTTTGTGCAATTTTTTTCTTTGCCAATGATAAAAAGGAAACCATGAGAACAGTCAGCAGGCCAACGAAGACAAAATGGGAAGGAAAGCAGTAAGTGAGGAGTAGGAGCTGCCGGCACAGGTGGTAGGGGGTGTAATGAGTGTGTTCAGGATCCGTAACTCCAGACATGTCACTTCTCTTCTGAATAGAAACCAGTGATTTTCAACTGCTGTATGACAGGAATTTTTCAAACATGTAGTACCTGACTGTTTAGTCAGGGGCACTGACCTCATTTCCCTTAGATTGTCAAATAAAAAAATGACAACAGCCAACACAACAATAGCTGCCTGGTATGAATGAATCAAAATTATACCCATTTTTTGTCAGATCAGCAAAAAATATATTTTTGGTGTGCTGCAGAGTTTCAGTACTTTGTTCATGTGTGCCTCCAGATGAAAAAGGTTGGAAATCGCTGCTGTAACCTGAGGCACATGGGAGAAGTTGGTCTAGAGCTGCACTCTTCAGTGTGGTAGCCAGTCCCACAGGTGGTTGTATAAATTCACACTGAACACAAGAACGGGAAGTTCAGTTCCTTAGTGACATCACCACGTTTCAGTGCTCAGTAGCCACGTGCAGCAAGCAGCGCCTGTGTTGGACAGCACAGACTGAGACCATTTTCATCACTGAATAGTAAAGGGCACTGTCCCAGGCAACCACAGGTGAGGTAACTTCTAGCTCTGACACTGTGACTCTTAAGTTCAGGAAGGCAGCCAAAGAGACACCTGACGAGGCTGCAGTAGCAGCAGGAAATAAAATACACTCCAGAAGAAAACAGTTTAGTAATAATGGCACTTTTTGGCCATAAAAAGGGGGTTTATTCTAATTGGAGGAAGGTGATTATTAAAGTAAGTATAACAGCCTAATAATTTAAATTGAAAGCTTAAGTTACTACCTCATCTCCATGAAGAGCATAATTACAAGGTAGCATCCCTATCAGGTAACCTGCACCAATGGGAGAGTGGGAAGCCTGGGACACCAGTACTGTGAGATGTGTTAGCACTTCATAGACTTGAACTGAGTAACATGGTGGGAATTGTGGCCACGGGCCCAGCACTTTCAAACTTGCAGCAGTGTCCAACTCTTAGGACCCATGGGTTCCAGGAACAGCCAGCACCAGCGTGATCAGGGAGTGACCTAATTTCTCATTAAAAGACAATTACGCACTTGCTTTTGCATTGTGTGTTTTGTGTCTGCTACTGTTGGTGTTGATTCCAAAGTGCCTCCCTAGTGTCCATTACCCGGTGTGACCAGAGAGGCAATGATAGGAGTCAGGGGACAGAAAACTTGGGGGGGGGGGGGGATGTAGGCAGGAGAGGAGAGTCCAGTGGCATCTGGGATAACAGCAGGCGTGAGACAAGGGAGGCACGAGGCTAAAGGATGGCCGGGCGAGAGCAGGCCCTGTCTTCACAGGCCTGTAGAACCCACAGGAAACGGGTGGGGAGGGTGCGACCAGTTGGAAAGAAGAGCTTGTGTGTCAGACACTAATCAGAACCACTGGGTTCTAGCTGAGCCATCCTGGGTGGGCTGGACCTTCTCTGAAACAACCCCGAATGTGAAGGCAGTTACTCTAACAGCTGTGTCAAAAATATACGTGTTGCTGTCCCGTCCATTTGGAAGGATTTTTTAAGGGAGGCAAGAACGCCCTTAAAGATGGTAGTTTTCCTGAACTAACCAGACAGGTGTGACTGGTAGAGACAGCCCGCGGACGCTGACAGGGATGCTGGCTGGTGAGCTGGTCCTGAGTGAGGAGCCAACTGCTAGGAAGGGAGGAGACGGCGAGTGAGGGATGTGCGGGCACTGGGGGCAGGGACAGGAGACAGGGGAAAGATGGAAGGGGAAGAACAGGGAACAAGGGTACAGGGAAAGGCGAGTTATTCTAAAATTGGCATCAACCATGTTGGAGACAAAGGGTCACCTGACAGAAGCCACGCAAAGATGCACAGATCGATCGGCTCCTCACCCCAAGGTGCTGTGAAGTCTCTGGTGCACAGCACACACTCCCGATGTTACCTTTGCTGAGCGTGGTACCTGCACGTTCATCCTGAGCATCAATTCTTACAGTCTAGTCAAAAAGTCCACCAACAGTTACCACTCAAGTAGACACTGTCTCCGGCGCCGGGTCTCAGGGACGCGGTCTTGGGTCCCGGCACTGGGCCGTAGTCGGACCTGAGGACTGGCCGCCGCCGCGGCGCCACGTTCGGCACCGTCTTCCCCTCAACACGGCGTAAGTAACCGTGGCCAGTATTTGAGAATAAACCGCGTCCCCGCTGTCATCTGCTTTAAAACAGTTCCCGTAAGGTTCACAATTAGCGCCGCTCTGAGGTCCCTAAATAGCTAGCCCCGATGGCACTGGTGAACACCCACCCCTCGCCTCACGCCCGACCTCCGCCGCCAGCCCTTCCCACCGCCTCAGCCTCGGCACTCCGGACTGTTAGCGACCGGAAGTGGACGGAGCCCGAGCCCTGAGAAAGGGGCCCGGCCTTCCCCGCGTCCGTCCGGAAACGCTGGGGCGCCCGCCTGGAAAAGGGCCGGGGCCGGGGCCGGGACTTGGAGGAAGAGCAGGTCCGTTGCGGGGACCCGGGAACACTGTTGGGCAGCCGGTCTGTGGGCCAACCGCGGACCTGCCAGCCCTCCCGGATTGTACTCCGGGCGGAAAGGGACCGAGGACAAGCTCTGCCGCGGCCCGCAGCTCCCTGCCCGGGATCCCGCGGTGGTCGGCCACTCTGCGCTTCCTGTGCGGTCCGCGAGCGAGCTCTGGGGAGGGGCGGCCGTACATACACGACCTTGGGTCCCACCGGCGAGGGTGCGGGGTCTCCGTTGGTCACTGTTGTGGGACCTGGCAACACCTCGCGGACGAAGGGAGAGGAAAAGTGGCCTCTGAAATTGTCTGCCTCTGAGGGAACTCGGGGACTAGAGTAAGGTGAAGCATGCCGGCCTACAATCCGGTAGACGCGGGTTCGGGTTCTGGCCCCACCACCCCTGTTAACCAGTATCATACGATTGGGTGGTTGTGGTAAGTGTCAGAATGCATGTGAAAAAGCGCAGTCTTTAGTTAGATGTTGTCTTTCTCCCCGTCGCTCGTGTTATGCAAACGAGACTCATTAACCAACTGTCGCTTTTCTGGAGCCTGTGTGAAGAAAGTAAAGTGCAGGTCGCGGCACCCGAGAAGCCGTGAAGAATGAAAACACTGACGTCACCGTGAGCTTCACTTGGCGCCTGGCGAGCTGGGTCCTGGTGCACGAGGACGGATCACGGGGAAGGAACTAAAAATGGAAGGGCAAGGTGAGTCATGCTGACTAAATTGAGCTGATCGGCAAAACGAATCAAACCACCATTCGTTTCAGAAAGGTGTGGCATATTTGTATATTTAAAGGGTCACCAAGTACTGGAACTCGGAAATCTCAGAATAAATATCGGACACCTAAACTGAGGGAGCTTATAATCTATTTGAAGAACAAATGCAACAGTAGCCACTAATGTGACACAGAATGTGGTGGCACAGAGAATGGTAAATCTGGGGAGTGAGAGAAATGTGTTATTAGAATAATGGGCCAGTGTCTGGAGCAATGAGGCAAGTGCTTTGACCTGAGAGCCGTGGGGAGGTGTGACAGTGCCTGGGGAGAGGAGCGTTCTAGAAGGCTGTGAAAGGCAGGCAGGGTTGCTGCTGGTGGAACAAGATACTATACTATTCAGCCATGGGTACAATAGAGTAACAATGAGAAAAGCAGTGTCAGAACACTGTGTTCCGTATTTCTTAGAAGAAAGCTGTATATGTAAAGATGTGAGTGATTACGTGTGGGACTCATGCATGTAAAGGAAAAGGATACACTCCATGCTGAACAGCGATCACTCGTAGTGAGAATGGTAAAGATATTACGGTATTTGCAAGCTAATGATTTAAGTTTGCCACAGTTTAGTGGATACTGCAGAAGTCTCTAAACTCCTGTGTCAGAGACAAAGGTCTTTATTTAATGACACAAGCATCATGAGCTTCATGTTCTCCTTGTCCTCAAAGTGAACAGGGGCCACATGGTTGCCCAGATGGGTTTGCATTCGGCTGAGGAAACCCAAGCTTAGAAAACCAATCTTTGCCCGAAGGAAGATATTGTCTTCATTATCCTGGTTGGAAAACAAATCTGCTTCAAGAGAGATGCAAACATCTTTGCAAAGATAATCAGAGAGAAAATTTGCCAGAAGACTTGGAGAAATATGAGATCCTTGGAGAATTATTTCCCAACATTCTAGTAACGGCTTTTGGAGGTTAGAGGAGATGTCAGCTATTTTCACTTTATATACATCTAGATTCTAACGTTCTGTCATGTTTTATTTTGATTTTTTCTTTTAAAAACATATTTTGATTTTTAAAAATACAGTGAGAAATAACCCTGGCCAGGTGGCTTAATGGGTTGGCTAAGTAGGTTTTTTGTTTGTTTTGTTTGTTTTTACATTTTGTTTTATTGATTCTACAGAAAGGGGAAGGTAGGAAGAAAATTACCAATGGGTCCCCAGAGACAGAACCTGCAACCCTGGCATGTGCATTGAACCAGTGGCCTTTTGGTTTGCGTGAGGACACCCAACCAACTGAGCCACACTGGCCAGTGCTCTTCATTAGTTTTTAAGAACATAAAAGGAGTCATTATAAAATACTTGAGAATTACTGTGCTATTTCATATACCATATATAAAGTGGTCCTTCTGAAACTAAAATTCAAAACTATGTAGGAGGATCTGGGAACACCTTTGAGGCCCTAGGTAGGGAAAATATTTGGTGTCTTATTAGAAACGTGTCCCCCTGCTTATACAAATAGGGGAAATACCAGTAACCAGAAACTAGCTACTTTGTGTGACTGTTTTTGTGCTCTGGTGTGGTGGCTTTTGTTGGACGCCACTACTCTGGGAAGTTTAAAATGTGTCCTCTAACCCCTGGTGTGGCTAATTCCAGTAGTGGTTAGAAGACTTAAATGCTTATTTTTCCATACTAGAAAGTCAGTAGATTAATAGAGATTATCTATACATAGAGAATCAAGAAATGGCAGTGTTTGCATGTTATTTATAAATAAATATGAAGATTAATAATAATAAAAGGAGAGAGTTGAAGTGGTCATCTCTGGAGAGGAGTGTGGTCTGGTGTTTTTTACACCATAATCCTGAGAGTATATTTAATTTTTATTTTTTTTATTTTTACATATGTATGCAACCATGTAACCACAACCCCTATCAAAGATAAACACTTTTTGTCTTCTGTCATTACAGATTAATTTTACATATTTTTGAACATGTTCTTACAAGACCACATAATACTTTTGAGATTCATGCAAATTGTTCATCTATCTGTAGCTCCTTTTTATTTCTATTTCATTGTATGAACGTAAGTCTATTTTCCTGATGATGACCCTTTGGATTTGTCCAGTTTGGTTGTACCATGAATGAAGCTGCCCTGGTCTTAGCTTTTCATGTCTCTTAGGTTAATACCTAGGAGTGAGACTGCTGGGTCATAATGTAGGTGTTACTTAACTGCATTAAAAACTGCCATTTTTCCGAACTGCTTGTACCAACACACTCCCACAGGTAGTGTGTGGTTCCTGTGACTTCACATCTGCATCAGCACTTGTATTGTTAGTCACTGTGATATTAGCAATCACACCTCACTGTGGTCTTGATTTTCTGTTTCCCTAATGAATGATGTTGAGTACACTTTCATGTACTTATTGGCCATTCATATCTATTCCTTTGTAAAGTGTGTAATAAATTCTTTGTTAATGTTGGTTTGTCTTATGACTGAGTTATAAGAATTCTTTATATATTCTGAATACCAGTCATCAAAAATGTGTATTGCAGGTCTTTTGCAGTTTATAGCCTTTACACTTTCTTAATGGTGTTTTTTGTTGAGCAGATTATTTAAATTTTTATGAAGTCAACTTTTTCAATTTTATGTTATCATTAGTACCTTTTGAGAAATATTTGTGAAGATCATGATGCTATTTTACTTCTGAACTACAACTTTGGGTTTTAAAAATTATTTTTTAATGTAAAAACAGGAACAGCAGAGTTCTGTCTAGTCTGTCACCAGCTGGGAGTCAGGAGCTGTGAGATGAAGGGCAAAGATGAGTGTTTTGAGAGTCTAGAAGCACTGAAACTTCTCTGTGTTTGTTCTGATGTGACGATTTAGATGACAGAACCCTAAAAAACAAATCAGAGCTAATACCTGGACAGGAATTTCAGGGGTAGCATTGGGGACTGGACGGAAACTTCCTGTGGCCATCAGCAGGAACCGAAAGGGGAAATGAAGGTGAAGAGTAGAGGCGCACCTGAGCACTGAGAATAGATGGGTGATTAGGAAAGGTGCTGAAGGAATAAAAATGTGGGACCAAAACAACAAAAGTAAAAGACATTATTTCACAACCTCCACCCCCGAGATCCTACTTAGTCTGAAAAGTTAAGAAATACAATGGGTATGTAAAGAATGAACACTGGTTTCCCAAAGTCTGGTGGTAAAACCGAGGTCAACTACTGAGGCTTATGTCCTGGATTTAGGGTTAAAAAGGCGAAACTGCAAACGCAGGCTTTGTAAACGAGTGCAACTCGTTGAAACAGGAAGTGGTGGAAGATCCGTGAAGTTATATTCAGCGAATTATTTTTGAATTTTAATAGTATAAAGTGTACTCTTACTAGGTACCGTCGGGACATTTTATACTATGAACAACGACTAACAGGAATTCCTCAGGACCGGGTTTGTATTTGGAAAGGACACCTGACTGCAACGGGTATCTAACCAGCCCGAAGGAAGCCCGGGGAACCAGAGTCCCGCGCCAGCGAGGGCGTGCTCGGACCTCTCCTCAGGGGCTGCGCGACCCTGCCACGCGCAGGCGCAGGAGGAGCCCGGGGCACCGACCATAGAGCTTTCAGACCACCAAGGTTCCTAGAGAGCTGCCGGAAGTGCCGTTGGGCAAAGTGCGCTTTGACCGGTGTCCCCCCGCTGATGTGGGAGCTGGGACTGGAGAGGCCTGGTCAGGTTGCAGCTTTCGAACCCTTTTCTCCCTGCTCTACCCCGGGGCTGTCCGCCGCCATCACCCTCCCTTCCCCACCCCGGCCGCCCCCAGGACTCGCGGTGAGTACCGTTCGGCCTGGGCCTGAGGGCGCTCTGTGGTCAGGGCGGCTGCCACCAGGGACCAACCTGAGGGTCCGAGCGGGGCGGGGCCGGTGGTGCCCGGGCTGGCTGTGGGGATCACCGCTGATCCTGGCTGCATCCGTGCCCACGCCCCTAAACTTTCACGAGGAAACCTTTTATAAAAGCTTGTTTTCTTCATCGATCATGGATTACTCGTGTTATTTGCAGTCGAGCATGTTTGTTGTCTTAAAATAGAAGACTGCCCTCACACCTTTTTACAGGTATTTCCACCAAGTGAATAGCTTTTACGCAGCAATTTTGCTTTTCCGTCACAATAAAATTCTCATGTTTTAAAGAGATATATTTTGCTTTGAGAAGCCCCAGTTATTCCTGAAAACCTATCTTTGTTGTGAAGTTATTCAGCTCTTTGTAGTGCGGTATTCAGAAAATGGTGGTGTTGGCTGGACAGTTGTACAAAACGAAACACTTGCGGCGACTTCAGGGCAGTGTGGAGTTCAGCCTCGTTCAGAAACCTCCGCTGTTAAAAGAGCTCACTGAGGCAGGTGCCGTTTTCACAACTCGGGTCACTCGTGAGCAACTTGTCCGGCAGCAGCGACTGCCGCCCCCGCTGAACAGGACCCAGGTTTTGTCTCTTAGTCAGAGATGCGTGTTTGTGCAGTAGTCACTGTTGACGCAAATGCAGACATACTTTGAATTTCTGTTGTGATTAAGCATGAAGTGCCGTGGGCGCCAAAGCATTCAGTCTATGCCGCCAGAGACACAACAGAGCACCTCTTCTTGATCTTAAAAACCTGGAAAGTATCTTTCCTGTTTTATTTTCAGTTCCCAAACATCCCAAACTAGACTCAATTAGTCTAAAAGAAGGAAACATTTCTTTCGCATCTATTGAAAAAATAATGCAGTTAAAAGCTGAATTGTGCCCTCAGTAGTTCTCAGGATTATAGGGTTTGAGTCAAAAGAAGCCTTAAAGGTTGACTGTTGTAACGTCCCAAATCAATAAAGTGACCAGGAGTGTCAAAAGGAGGTGCAAGAAGCCGTCTTTGTCCACAAGGAGCTTCCCAACTTAGTACCAGTGTGTGTACACAGAGAGAAAGGCACACAGCAAATTAATTTTGTAGTGCATCTTTTCGTATTTGCTTAGTTATAGATTGGAATTGTCAGAAACTGATGAAGAGGGGAAGAGACTAAAAAGAAAGGACAACACTTGTTTGCTGAATTCCGGGTAAAATGTGAACAAACCAGATAAATGACTTCCATCAAAGCTTTGCTGTTGAAACTTTATTTACTATTATGATATTAATACTTTAATTTAATGTTTTAACATATCAACAATATAAAGTTCTTTAATGGTGCACACTGAATATTGAAATAGTTTGTAGTTGGTATTGATGAGGATTAATTTTAAGGAGAACGTGGCCAGTTGTTCAGTAAAGGTGAGCACTGGCTTTAAGAAAATGGAAAAGAAGCCCTGGCTGGGTGGCCCAGAGGGTTGGAGCCTCGTCTTAAAACTGAAAGGTTGTAGATTTGATCCCTGGCACGGGCACAGAAGGCAACTAGTGAATGCTTCTCTGTCGTATCGATGTTTCTCTCTCTCCCTTCCTCTCTCTAAAAGCAATTTAAAAAATATCGTCAGGTGAGTATTAAAAAAAAAAACTCCAAAGAAAATGTGGTCAAACTGGAATTCTGGAGCATCCCGTTCAAAACAGTGAGAGGTCAGTGTGCATGTCCCATGGTGATGGTCTTTCAACTTTTTAAACTATAGGGAGCTGTTTTAAGAAAATTTAAGAATTTATTAAATTGTCATTGATTATTTAAATAATTTATTTTAAAACCATGAGTGTTAATCCTGTCTGTTCAAAACAAATTTGCTTACCCCTTGTCTTAAATCCTCCTCTTGCCCAAATTCACTCTTCCCTGAAATCTCACTGTCCCAGGAAATACCCCCTATTCTCTGTAAAGTCATCATCCATGAATTAATCCCTGATGTCAATCACCAGATTGAACCTTATCTCTTGCTCCTTGGTTCTTGCTATCTGTAGTTTACTCTCCAAACTGTTGTTCCCAGCCTTGTCTCATTTCAAAGATAATTTCCAGTTCTCTTCCTTTTCGAAGTAGGGGTTCATGACCTTTTTGGAGTTCTTGGTGGATGTCAGGTCTATGAACTCTGCTGAAATTGAATGTAGACTTTTAGGCCTCTGGGCTTTTTTCTTGGGAGAAGTTCTCTGTTTTCATTAGATTGTAGAGAATAAACCAACATCCCCCCAACCCCAACAGAGGAAACCCTGGAAGACAGAGACACCACTCCGAAGACTCAGATTGTCCTTCTGAGCGCCTGTCCATTCTCTGGCTTGTGGACTGTAGGTCTGCGGTTCTGTGTTGATGTTGGCATCTCTTGCCGACTGCGTTTGGATATTCTGCTTTCAGTTATGTTCTTCAGTCAATTGTGTGATGTTCTGCTATTATGATCTTTCTGGTAAACATGTGATATAATGACCATGCTTAAAAAAAGAAAAAGCTCACTGCCACAAACAGGCATTCGCAAGAAAACCATGGCTGTGGGCAAACAGTTCCTGTCCTCTACACAATGGGATCTACTCTGTATTTGGACCATCTGATGAATACCTGGACAAGAATGAGCACCTTAATCTGCTGGCATGGGGGGGGGGTGCGGCTGGGAAGGTAGAGTGTGGGGACAACAGAGAGGCGTTGTGAGAAAAGGTAATAGTCAAGCTGAGACTTTCAAGTAAGACTTGAATGGTTTTAGCTAAACCTGGGTTTATCACCCTTGGCCCAGACACTGTGTTGGGGCTGTGTTTTGCATTGTAGGATGTTTAGTAGCATCTCTGGTCTCTACCCACTAGATACTAGTAGCACCCATTCCCCTCAGTTGTGACAACAAAAAAATGCTTCTAGACATTGTTGAGTGTCTCTTGGTGAAAGGGGTAAAATTGCCCTCAGTCAAGAACCACTGAACTAAAGAGCTCTGCGGCAATTAAAATTAAAATATTAATTTAATTTATTAATTAAATTTATTAAATTTAATTAATTAAATTTAATAAAAATTAATTTAAAAATAAACAACCTTGATTTTAAAAACACACAACAGTTTTGAATAGATATTTCACCAAAGAAAGTATACAAGTGGCAAAAAAAGCCCATGAAAGGATGCTGAACATTATTAGTCAGTAGGGAGATGAAAATGAAAACCATAGTGAGACTCTACTATGTACCTATTAGAATATCTTAATTTTTAAAAAAAAAACAGTATCAGATGCTGGTCCAGATACAGAGCAGCTGCAATTCTCACACATTGCTAGTGGAATGCAAAGTGTTGCAGCCACTTTGAAAAATAGTTTGGCAGTTTCTTATATAGAGTTGTACATCACTTACCATGAAGCTTACTACAGTTGCTTCTGGATATTTACCCAAATGAACTGACTGTGTCACTTCATGGTGACTTTATTTGTACCCATCAAAAACTGGAATCAACTGAGATGTCTTAACTAGAGAACGGATAAACATACTGTTAACATTCAACCACATTGATGATTTGAGATGTATTATGCTAAGTGAAGATGCCAGACTCCAAAGGCCTCATCCTGTATGGTTTTATTTATAAAACATTCTGGAAGGTCATTAGGGTTTGGGACTAGACTGGGTTTGCAGGTAGTGATGGAGCATGCAGGTTCCTTGGAGATGCAGGACCAGTGTTCTGAAGAGGAAAAGATGGCGATAAAGTCCACAGTAGGAGTTAGCCTTGAGGTCAGAGGGAAGACGGGCTCCCAGGTAGGATAACAAATGTTAGGTAGAGGACAGTTCTTGTCAGTACCTTGAGCTGAACTATTTGGAAATTAGTCTCATCTGTTTAGAGTGAGGGACAGGTTGAGAGCTAAAGTGTGTAGAAGCAGTACTGCTAGTGTAGCAACGCTGAAAGAAGTTAAGTCAGCAGTTCTGGGGGCCAGAGCTTTAATTAGATACAGTGCACCTGGTTTCTTGACTTCGTTTACCCAAGTCTACATCGCTACGGAGAGAAAACAGATGAGTTGGTATGAGAAAAGGCTACTGAGGTAAGGGGTTGCTTCTGGAAGATGGGAGGGAAAGACTTACCCACGATCAAGCTGTGAAGTCCATGGCAGAGTAGGGAGCTTGTTATGATGTCTTCGTAAGTCACTATGACCTCTGACTTCCCTTAACACTGTCATTTTCTCTTCTAAAGAAGTCCCCTTAAAGAAGAGGCCCTCAGAAAGTTCTCTCGTAAGAAGATAAAGAAAGGAGTGGAAACAAGGCTCCTGAGCTCTTCCAGCCCTACATGGCTGCAGAATCAAGAAAGTGTTCAGCCCCATCCCTACCCAGCCGTGCTCCGGAAGAGGACCTTGTAATTGTCAAGGTGGAGGAAGATCATGGTTGGGACCAGGAATCTGGTCAACATGAACACAACCTTCCTGGCCAAGAGCTGTTCCGCCTGCGATTCAGGAAGCTGTGCTACCAGGAGACCCGAGGACCCCGAGAAGCCCTGATCCAGCTGCGGGCACTTTGCCACCAGTGGTTGAGGCCAGATTTGAACAGCAAGGAGCAGATCCTGGAGCTGCTGGTGCTGGAACAGTTCCTGAGCATCCTGCCTGCAGAGCTGCAGGCCCTGGTGAAGGAGCATCATCTGCAGAGTGGGGAGGAGGTGGTCACCCTGTTGGAGGATCTGGAGAGGCAGATTGATATACTGGGACGACCAGTAAGTAGCAGGAGGTGTGTTTGCTGGGCCTGGGGTTCCTGGAGGCTGGGTGGAAGGCGGTGGGCATAAATGCTGGGCAGGAGTTTCTGCTGTTAGAGGAAAACATGGTGTTGTATGGCTTGTGTTGACAGAGTTCTTTTTTTAAGCTTATAAATCCATGTTTTATCCTCCTAACACCCCTGTACTCTGTTATTGCTCCTGTTTGCCAGATGCATAGAGAGCTAAAATTACTTTTTAAGGGACACCCAAACATTAAAGGTAGATCTGAGACCAGAACTCAGGTTTCCTACTTCCTCATCAAAAGTTTTTTCCCACTGAATAGCCCTGCTCTGTTCCTGTTTTTTGCCCTTCTTCCCCAGCTGTGGGAGCATAGAGTGTTAGTGTTGGGCCCAGGGAGGGCACAGCAGATCCTTTCCTTTGGTTTCCATGCTAATAGATGTGAAGGCAGCATGTGCCCCATAGATGTGCTCTTGGTCCTCTCACACCCTCACCTCGTTTCTCAGAGGGATTCCTCCTAATGCACCTGCCCATTGTGTCCAGGTCCCGGCTCGTGCACACGGACACAGGGTCCCCTGGGAGAAGGTGGTGTGTTCAGAACCTGCACCAGAGCCCCCAGACACCCAGCCCCAGCCTACGGAAACCCAGCACACGGCTCCCGTGCTCCACGGGCCCCGAGACAGAGGTGAGGAGCCGATTTCACTGACAAGGAGGAAGAAGGAAGGAACCCCAATTTCTTCCTGGGAACTACTCTTTCCAGACCATTTTTGGGTCTGATATCAATGTCTGTCTGGCTTCACATATGGACTGTCAGTCCCAAGGCTAAACTCATGAACAAATTAAAGAATTGGGGGATTTTGTGTATTCATATGTTTGTGTTACCCCAACATGTTTCCAACAAGGCATTTTTGAGGTGGTCTGGTTTCACGTGCCACTTTATTTGTAAATATTTCAGTGTATGTTTCCTCACCCAGTCAGATCTATCACTGGCACACTACTCATCTCGTCCACAGTTTACCTGCAGGTGTTGCCAGTGGTTCCAGTAGTGTTTGTCCAAGACAGCACCTTAGTTACTTGGCCTTTTTTTGCTTTTCATGATCTTGATGTTTTTGAAGCGTGCAGGTCAATTATTTTGTAAAGTGGCTGCAATCTGGATTGGTATGGCGTTTCCTCATGTTTAGGTCCAATTGTGTCTGCTTGGCAGGAACACCCAGAAGTGAGGTTGTGTTCTCTTCAGGGTTACAGCAGGTATTTGTCCATTTATTGTTGATGATAGCTTTGATGATTTGGTTAAGGTTATTCTTGCTGGGTTAATTGGCAGTAAAGTTAGCATTTTTCTCTTTATAATTAATAAGTAATTTGTGAGAAAGTACTCTTGAGTCTGCGTAAATAGCCTGGTCCTCATCACACTGTTGTTGCTAAAATACTAGTTTTAGTATTGGTGCTTTTTCACTGAACTGGTGATTACTAAGACAGTTACAAAATGATAATTTTCTAACTCTGTTATTCCTTTTACATTTATTTGTTTATTGTAATGGAGACTGCTCCCTTCTCCTTATTTTATTTTATTATTTTTAATTTATTAGTATGGACTCAATTATTATTTTATTCTATAAATATTCTGTTACTATGTTTATTTTAGTGCTTAAACCATCTCAGATTTGCCAGAGTCTGGCTCCTATGTCCTTTTGACATTTCCCGTCATTTTTTGAGACCTTACTTTCTTACAGAACAAGTTATTTTGGTCTCATCTCATACTTGCCCTGCACTTATTATGCTTTTATTTATTTATGTGGGTTATAGTAGTTTGTTATATGTAGATGGGTTTTTAATGTTTCTAGAGAAAACATATAGGAACATTTTCGATTACTAATATAATTTTCATCTGAAGTTCTAAGGCCTGTTGCCGATTTTGGTTTTGTCGCTGTCTGGGGTCTGTAGGAGGCAGGTACTGGCAGTTGTGGTAGACATTTGAGGAGGTAATGGAGTAACTACAGAGAGATGGCGGGGAGACCAGGACCTGAAGGGATCCTGACAGGCACAGGGATAGACTGCAGCTTCGGTGGGGGGAGAAACTACAGCAGCTCTTGTTGGGAAACCGTGCACTTGTATGTTTGACCTGCACTGCAGGCTGAGTGGAACATCAGAGCGCGGGGGCTTTGTGGACCAGCACAGGTGTGGGCACAGAGCCCAGGCCACCAGCATTTCACAAGTACAATCTCTGGTATGCATTCCTGCAAAAATACAGGTAATTTAGACTGGGTTACTGCTGGCTCCCGCAAGCACAGAGCAAGGCTGGCCTCCATCACGGCTCCTTTCTCCTCCTCAGCCACATCCGCATCTCAGAGTCCCACCCCTTCCCAGGAAGGAAGTCCTGGAGACCAGATGACAGCGTCACTTCTTACAGCAGGGTTCCAGGTGAGTTATGCTCCTTCTCACTGAAACCCCTTAGCTGTCCTTGGTGCTGTTTGTGTCATCGACCCACTGTGTGTAGACTGCCTATAGCAGTACTCATCCAAGAACTTGCCCTAAATTACTTTGAATACAGACAGATTAATCCTTGACTTGACACATTTTCTTCTTCCCAGCTGTTCAGATTCCTTCCTACAGCAGGTCCCCAGCTCTTAATCCTCTCTGACTCTGGTGGGTCTCTGAGACTGGGTTTGAGGTGTGGAACAATCCCAGTCCTCAATTGGTTGCTCATTTTGTTTCAGACTTTGGAGAAGATTGAAGACATGGCTGTGTCCCTGATTCGAGAGGAGTGGCTTCTTGATCCATCCCAGAAGGATCTGAGTAGAGACGACAGGCCAGAGAATTACAGAAATGTGTTCACCCTTGGTAAGGAGATCTCTGGTTGTTGTTACTATTATCATTTAAGGTTTTTTGTTTGTTTGTGTTTTATGTGTACTTAATTGTGAGCTTTCTGAAAGACATAGTTGAGTTTAAATTCAGGATCCACAGAGAAATATGTTGAGCCTTCTTAAGGTCTAAAATGAAACTTCATTCTCTGACCCCAGATGGACTTAACTGACTCTTCCAGTGCCCCCCTACTTCGCTCATTGCTTCTGTCCCCGGTTCCCACGAGACATTTACGTAGATTGCTCTCACTTAGGCCAGTTGTGCTGCTCCCTTTCAGTGACTCTTTGGGGCTTTTTTCCATTTCTGTCCCACTCATTAGATCTTTTTGTCATCCATATTCCTTCCCACTCCCTGCCTTACACTTCTTCTCAGTTGACCCTTTCCCTGCTTTAGTCCACCTTCCGATAATCTCTTTCTCATGGCAGTTCTTCCCCTGGTAGCTGGTGGTACTTGGCTTTGACCTGCACCACCTACTTCCCCCTGTCAAGAAGTCATTTTGGAGACAGATGGAAGCTTTGCATTTATTGTAGCTGTTTCCTGTGTGTTTTCCTTTTCCCCTATCTTCGATTCTTTCTTCCTAACAGATGGGATAGGAAGTGACATTGGCTTGATGTTTGTTTATTATATTTTTATTTCAGGTAGTGAGACAAGGAATGAGAACAGGGAATTAGCTTCGAAACAGGTAATATCTACCGGAGTCCAACTACATGGAGAGAGAGCTGCCAAATGCAACGGGGATGCTGATGGGAGTCCTGAGCTTGGAGAAGCGCAAGACCTGGGCAGACTGGACAGGCCTCGGGGAAACCCCACCCAGGAGAGACGACACAAATGTGATGAATGTGGGAAGAGCTTTGCCCAGAGCTCAGGCCTCGTTCGCCACTGGAGAATCCACACTGGGGAGAAGCCCTATCAGTGCAGCGTGTGTGGGAAAGCCTTCAGTTACAGGTCCGCCCTTCTTTCCCATCAGGACATCCACAACAAAGTGAAACGTTATCACTGTAAGGAGTGTGGCAAAGCCTTCAGTCAAAACACAGGCCTGATCCTGCACCAGAGAATCCACACTGGGGAGAAGCCGTATCAGTGCAACCAGTGTGGGAAGGCTTTCAGTCAGAGTGCGGGCCTTATTCTGCACCAGAGAATCCACAGTGGGGAGAGACCTTATGAATGTAACGAGTGTGGGAAAGCCTTCAGTCATAGCTCACACCTCATTGGACATCAGAGAATCCACACAGGGGAGAAGCCCTATGAGTGTGATGAGTGTGGGAAAACTTTCAGGCGGAGCTCACATCTTATTGGCCATCAGAGAAGCCACACTGGGGAGAAACCCTACAAATGCAATGAGTGTGGGAGGGCCTTCAGTCAGAAGTCAGGCCTTATTGAGCATCAGAGAATCCACACTGGAGAGCGGCCCTATAAATGCAAAGAATGTGGGAAAGCCTTCAACGGGAACACTGGCCTCATTCAGCATCTGAGAATCCACACAGGGGAGAAGCCCTATCAGTGTAATGAGTGTGGGAAAGCCTTTATTCAGAGGTCCAGTCTCATTCGACACCAGAGAATCCACAGTGGAGAAAAACCTGAATCCACAGGAGTTTAGGGGAAAACTTGAATCATAGTTTGGGCATTATTCAACATTAACCACATGCAGGTGACAGTTCTTTCAGTGCAGTAAAAAGGCAGAAAGTGTATCATCATTGTGACCTGATGCAGGGTCAGTATCAATAGTGGTGGCAGTTAGAATAGCTCTTAAGTAGTTCTTGAGTAACCTTGATGCAGGTTGATTAGCTTGACTGTCCTGGAAGGTGTCTGATGGCCCACTGTACCCTTGAGATGCTTAAAGAGCATCACAGTGAGTTGGTTGTGGCTGGAGGCACCTAACTTTGTCTTTTGGGTGAGTAGCTGTAGATTTGAGCAAGGCTTCTCCTGGCTCTTCTGCTTCTCCCCACCCCCGACCCCTCCCTAGTTATTCCCCTGGAGGGACACATGTGCTCCTTGTCTACCCAGGAGGCTGCTTTAGGGTTCAAAGCAGCCTCTGTGTGACATAGATTTGTATTTAGCTTTCTAAAATCCTAGTTCTAGGGAAATTTTTACAGACACAATGTATTAATGCTTAAGTGTACATTTTATTCTGATGTTCCTGGTGGTCCATAGAAACTCATATTCCCATGCAGACTCAGAATAGCACTCCAGCATTTTTCTTCCATCACCTCCACTGACACTTCTGAATAAAGGCTCCACTGACTCCACGGAGTCATTGCAAACCCCACATGACCCTGTCTGGCCCCAGGCCCCATGGGGGTTGTGGGACTCTGCAGAGGAAGGTGAGTGTGGACAGCCCAGCTGCTCTTGAGTGTGGGTGATTGTCCCTTGTGGTGACATCTGGCTCTTTCTGCCTCCACACTGTATGCTCTGGTACAGGTGGATGTTTTCCACCATCCTAGTTAGGATGTCACATGGGAGGAGACAGGCTTGACGAAGACGTACTAGTCTTGACCCAGAATGTGCACTCGCCCCTCTGGTCCCTGCTAGCACACTCCTGCAGGTTCTTGACTAGATGTCATCACCCTGGACCCCCTTTTCAGCTGGCCAGCACCTCCCTCTTTCTCCATCCACTTCTTCCCGTGAGCTTCTGTGTCACAGTAGTGACCCCTCACATCCCACCTGCAATCCATCAAACACAACATTTAACTTGTTGCTGGGACTGTCTTTCATCTCAGAATCTGGTTTAACGTAGCATCAGGGCTCACGCGTCCACACCGGCGTCATCCTTTCAGTTGGGCAGTGGTTACTGCAGTGGTGCTATCGTTGCAGTGACCACTGCTGCAGATACCCCATTTGATAAACCACACAGGAATACTCTACTTTAGAATCACATGTCGTTTTTGACTGTTCGATTACCCACTTACCACATTTGGAATCAAGTAACTTTCGGTGATTCCAAAGTTGTCTTTCATACTGGTAATCAATTCCATTAATCCTCCTCAGAAAAAGAAGATACAAGTCCTGCTGAAAACTCCAAGAAAAGTTATGTAACTTTGCACTGTGACTATTCTGAACAGGGGTAACACTCATTATTTTATGATTGATGTTTTAAAAAATCAGTCATAAAATCTTACATCACAGAGGTCCCCCTTTGGGGTCAAAAATTCCTTGTAATATCATTTCTCTCCTGCCCTTTGGCTTACCTTCACTGCGAACACCAAGTTTACCTACACCTATTTCATTGAGTTACTGGTCCCTACTGTCATCCTACTTCCCTTCAGTTTTTCAAGACAGTGCTTTCTGTTGTCTTTTTTTTTTTTCCAGGACAAAGAGGTTCATTTTGGCATGTGTCCTTTATTTTCTTGTTCTCTCTCGCTCTCCACCCCCCATACTCCTGTCTCTCTGTCTCTCTTCTGTGGATTACCATTCCTGATTCCCTTGTACTTGAAATTTCAAGAAACCAGAAACTAATAAATCTGGTTGTTTCTAGATCCTTGCTCTCTGCTTCAGTTGTGCCTTACACTCTGTAAGAGACTAAAATGAGGCCAGTGCCACCTTTGTGCAACCATCACCTAGGATGGATATGGGAGAACACGTGTAGCATCGGCAGAAATCCAGAGAAAAGAAAGTATGACCAGAGAGATCAGTGTTATGCTGGGTGAATGTGGAAAAGGGTGACTCAGCACCTACAGAAAGGGCCTGGTAGTAAAAGACAGTGAGACGCACCAAGTTCCTTTATCCTGCAGATTCTGTTTTTATGTTCTTAATCTGAAGTGAGCAGCTCACCAGTACTTCCTCTGCCTCCTGGGCTCCTCCTTTTAAATTGACCTTGAATGACACAGTGGCTATTCCAGAACTCCACTGCCACCAAACGTAGTCCTGGGAGATTCCCTCCTTGAACAAGGTGGCAGCACTAGAATGTGGTGGTTGAGTTCCCTGTGGAGCCATGAGCTTCACTCATGGCTCTGAGGTTCCAGGCAATCTGGCTGATGTTTACTGAGCACTTACTGTGCACCAGACCCTACATGAAGCATTTTTCATGCTGTGGTGGATACTATGTCCCCCGCTTCATAGGTGAGAAAACCGAGGCTTAGAGAGAAATAGGTTGACCAAGACCACGTAGCTGGTAAGTGACAGCAGAGATTCTGGCCTTCACAGCCTAATTCTCGAGCCTGCACCCCTGACTGTGGTGCTACCGTGGCTGATGAACACCCTGCCCCCGGTCAACCATGTCCAGTTGTGTGTCCTGGAATAGAAAGGTGGAGGATAGTGCAAATCCATTAAAATTCCTAGAAGATTGCCTGAAAATGCTGTTTTGCTTTACATCATTATTAAATGGTGATACTTTGGATGCTTTGTAGTAGTAGCAAACTAAAATGTGTAAGTAAATGTTTCAAAGAGTAACTGGGAGGATAAAGCAGTAAGTTACAGACTCATACATTTCTCTCTGAACTGCCCCAGTGAAAGTAGAAATACGGGGGGAAATGAAATATCCGTGCAGTAGGCCAGACAGATGGACAGTTAGGTGACAATGGGAAGTTTATCCACAGCATGAAATGTGGGAAACCTATTTACTACACATTTCCAACGACCATTCCTTTTTTTTTCTAGCATTTGTGATTTTTCAAATATGTCAACCATTGTTCAACTCATTTCCTCAATAGTCTATTCTTAAAACTTAACGGGCTTTATACTTGGCACTCCACTGAAATGTCCTTAGACTCAACAGTGGATAAATATTGTGTCTTGTCTTTGTTCTTGTCCTAACCTATATTGCATACTGTTGAATTTACCCTGTATCTCAGGAATTCTCTTCTTTGGCTTGTGGGACCCTTTTTGGTCATTTTTCCAATTTCTAACTATTGGGGTTTTTTCCTCTTGCTCTTCACCAAGCATAGTCACTATTTTTCTGTCCTCGCCCTTGTTTATCCATTTTGATTGTCAGTAACAATATTTACCACCATCTCTCCGCATACCTTGGTATTTGAAAACGGAACTCATCATTCTTGTCCCCTAAATACCATTTTCCTTTTAAATAGGTATCGTTGCTTAATTTCTTTACCCTAAACAGACTTACTACCCTTTATGTTTCTTATCCCAATCTTGGAGTTTTCTTATTCTGGTCTCCACTCTTCATGTCCAAAATCTTGGTAAGTTGTTCCAATTCTTAGTTTTTTCCTTGAGGCTGATGTTTACATTTCTGCTGTCCCCTCATAGCACCCGTTCAGATCCGAATTTGGGGCCCAGGTTATTGTAATTCCAGTGCCCTTGCTCTTAAGAGCCTCGTGTTGTAGACATTTAAGATGATCTTCTCAAACTCCATTTGCATGATGTCTCACTTGCACTCAAGAACACCCAGTACATAGTTCCTATCAGAGCAGTGATGTTCCAAGTGCTCCATTACCTGCCCTCCACACTCAGTTTCCCGCAGCCTCTTCTCCGGCATATTCTCCTACATCGTCACAGGATACTTCCTGTGGCCTTCACTGCTGTCTTACAAGCCCTTGACCTTGCCTCTGTGCCTTTCTTATACTGTTTCTTTTGCTTAGATTGCTCTTTGGCTCCAGCTCATGTTCATCACTTCCTTCAACGTACGGTTTCCTTTATGTCTTCTGAGTGAGCCCACCCTGACTGACTGCACCCACGCTGAGACCCCCCCTTCTGTGCTGCCTCAGCACTGATCCTTCAAGTTTGTACTATGGTCCGTGCACTTACTAATACGTAGCTTTGTAATTATTTTCTAGCACTCTATTGTAGTTTCACATTTGTATTTATTTCTAAAATTAAATTGTAAGCTCCTTGAGGGCAGGAATAATTTTACATTTGTATCTCTGCACCCCTAGTGCCTAGTACGGTGCTGAGCACACAGTAGGTGTTTAATAAATGCTTGTCAAATTATTGTGTGGATTACTTATGGTGTTGCCTACAGAAATTGTTATACTGTCTTCAAGGGTGTGTATCTTTTACCAGTTGGTGCACAGACCTATTTCCACAGTACAGTAATTGCCTATACCCAAGACTAAGGCCCAAAATTCCAATTTTAGGCGGGTATGTGGAAAGTTGAAATATGAACTCTCCATTTGCTTGGCCAGACTTATTTGTTACAAAAGAAACTAGTAAACACCAAAGATTACTGCGTTATTGCAGAAGTGCTTGAGGATAGGTTTTTGTATCTGCTTCGTGGTTCTCAGCTGGAGAAACTTGGCATCATCTGGAAACATTGTTTAATGGCTAGGACGCTGCTGGCATCTAGTGGGTAGAGCCTAGAGACGCAGCTGAACATCTTGCCTACACAGGATACAACAAGAAATATCCCAATTGAGAAACACTGGTCTAGATATATTTAAGGTATATAGAAAAATACTAGCATTGCAATTAGTAAAATTAGCTATGCCAAGCTTTACAAGAATCCTAAGAGTGTGTGTATTTTATAGTTTGTAAAATTACAAAAGGGAAAGGCCCTAATTTTTGGCATTCACTGCTACATGCCAGGGTGATGGGAAGCTTTAGATTATTGGCTTTCTCAGTTGCTTTCAGCATCAGACCTGCTTCCACCCTTACATCAGGTGGGAGGTGTTGGCAGAGTACAAGTCTAATTCTAGCTTCTTCATCTTGGTTCATTGCATGGAATGAAAGGTAAAGCCCTGGGGTGTATCCCTCTAGCAGAGGACCAATAACTTACCAAAGGTTCAGTCCTTTGAGGACAACGCATGATCCCCAGCAGTCTTGGGCAGCCACAGTCGGTAATAACCAACTCCCCAAGGATTTGCCAAGTAAACACATTCCCACTTACACATTTTTAAAAAGATTTTATTTCTATTTAGATGGAAAAAAGGAAGGGATAAATAGAAGGAAACATCGATGTGTGGTTGCCTGTCATGAATCCCCTTCTGGGACCTGGCCGGCAACTCAGGCATGTGCCCTGGGGAATCAAACTGGAAACCTTTGGTTCGCAGGCTGGCACTCAAATGCACTGAGCCACATCAGCCAGGGCCCACTTACAAATTTTTAACATATTCATTTAATCCTACTTAGGAAAGCAAATTTGTAGGGGAAAATGTGATTTCCTAAATTAAATAGTTTTAAAAGCCTTTTAAAAACTGATCTCCTTTTGTAACTCAATGGGCCTTCCTTCGGCAGGTTTAAAGAGGATCAGCCCTGGAGTTAGAAAATCATTGTAAATGCGATACACCAAAGAGCAGCATTGCTCTGTTGTTTAACCATTCATATAGTCTATAGAATAAGTTGGAAATCGTTTTCCAACCCATTGTTCTGTAAATGGAAGCCCAAAGAAGTCATGCGGCTTGGACGGGGTCACCCATTAGGTTGATGGTAATGAAACCCAGGGCTCCAGGGGCTCTGCCCGCAGAGAGAGGGAGCCTCCGGCGTCCTAGAGCGGACCGCCGGGAGCCCAGGCCGGGATTCCCGGACGTCGCCTCTCCAGGCCACTCCGGGCCCCTAGGGTTCGTCCCCTCTGGCCTCCGAGAACCGGGTGAGTCCACTCACGCTCCCTTCTGCTAGGGTTTGGGTGGCTCTGCGGGTCCCCTCGACCCGCCCTACCCCCCACCCCGCCTCTCCCACGCGCCTGCCCGTCGCCGCCCCCGGCCGCGCGACTCCCGAGACCCCGCGACCCGGGACTCCCCTGGCGGCAGCGGCGCGGTCCTGCCGCGTGGAGGCCCGCGCAGCTGAGGGGCGCCTGGAAGTCGTCTGGAGGTGCTCTTGAGACACTGGTTTCGCCTCAGTGGAAAAAGCGTAGCTGAATGCTTTACTCACGAAAGCACCTTTCTTTTGGTGTCTGGCATTTTCTCCCCCTTCAACCTTTTTCTTCTGAAAAGATCACAGCACGTGTCCCTCTTTCTTCTTGATAGTTTTTCTTTGAAATGAAAAATGGCACGTGAGCCCTGGCGCGGGGCTGGAGCGTCGTCGGGCCCACCGCAGGGTCGCGCGCCCATGCTCAGCGGGGCACGCGTGGCGGGGGGGGCGACCGACTGATGTTTGTCTCTCGCGTCCGTATTTCCCTCTGTCCCTTCCTCTGCCTCTAAAGGCAATGAACATATCCTCGGGTGAGGATTTTAAAAAATTTAACTCAAAGGTGCCTGATAACAGCCCAGCTTTAAGATAATGTATTCAGAAAAATATATATATTTATTCTTTGTAGTTGCCTGAAGTCCATACTAGCAGTTCGGGGCTGTGAGGAGAATATTTTGGGGAAGAGAAGGGCACCTTGGAGCAAGGGCAGGGGAGGGTAATTCAGCGTAGCCAGCCACCGACCAGAGGGGTTCTGCTGGGACTGGCAGGTGTCTCCCGAAGTATGGGTGGAAATGGGTCAGCTCCTAAGCCTTGGAGGGTACAAGGTCCATGGGACAACAGACAGACCCACAACTGATTGTGGGGAACCTTCCCGACCCATCGACCTGGAGCAACAAATCAGAGGCATAAAAAAATGCATGTTGTATACAGAAATTGGAAAAACACAAGAAACTAACACAAGTGATTATCTGTAGAGGTGGTAAATTAAAGGGGGATCAGGGAAGAAACAAGGCATCCATCTGTGTCTTCATAGAGTGTTTTGACTTTTTAATAAAAACCTTGGACAAATTTTTAAATAAAATGTTTAGTTTCTGTACAAAAATGAAAGCATATTTCTACAGTTGTCACCAAAAAAGTTCCCAGGAAAATAGTCATTATGAAACATTTCTGTAGTAGCAACTCCACTTGAAATATATGAAATAGCTACTACATGTACAAAGCTGACTGAGAAAGTTTCCTCCGTTGAATTCTTCAGAGCCAAATTTGGCTGTCATGAGTAAAAACAAAAGACTTAAAAGGGAGTGTAGAGACAAGTAGATAAGTTGAGTTTATGTAGTGGGTAAAGTTCTCATTATGAACAATCAAGATGGAACCACACATGATTTGGGATCTCATCACACTGTCAACACTGTCAGATACAGGACACTTGTTAAAGGTAGTCTTTATTATTAAACAGTTGTCACCCCAGCATATAGGAGTTTTGACTAACAAAGTCATCTCCATTCCTCGACAGTGTCAAGATTTTCAGGTCATTTTCACAGCATGTACTTGTCTAAGCAGATCCTCAAACCCTGTGAACTATGCTGTCATGCCTCCTATCTTTTTTTCCACTAAAATTCCTAAAACAGTTGTAAAAGGCATGAAAAGTGGGATTTTTTTCCACTTGATATACTGCTTATAGCTCAACGAAGCAGCTTGTTTTACTGGATCTAATTTCATCTGAACATATACATATATTTTTTCCCCTCCTTTTAAATAGACTAGAGTTAAACTCATTTTAGAATTCACTTATTAATAAATATAACTTTGTTTTAAACACAGGGGCACATCTAAGACTAGCAGCAAATTAATTATTTTATTTGAATTACACAATACTGACAGTTTTTTAGATAACATTTTCATCATAAAATGTCAGGGTGCTTACTGAATAAAATTTAAACTCCTTGCTCTGGCACTGAAGGGTTCTACAATGTACCCACCTCTTCAAACTTGCCTTATTTACTAAATTTGAGAAACTCCTTCAGTCTTTTCAGCTAACATGTCACCTGTCCATGGAATAAACACAGATCAGAGCCAGAAGTGATCTTTCCCTCCTCTGAATTTCCACAGCTCGCCTGCCATTGTTTACCACTCACGTCATTTGTCCCGGCACTGCCTCATTTACTGCCTCACAGTGTCTTAGCACCGTGACCATACAGAAAGCCTAAGCTCCAGTGTGAGTGTGTGGGTGTGCATGTGCGTGCACTTTACCCCTTTCATTGTCAGGAAAGCTGGTACTCAAAATTTTTCTACAACACTTCCCTTCTCTACAGAGAAGTGTTTTGTGCATAGAAGGGGCAGAAAGAGTAAAATGAGGCACAGTGGTCCTTTGTTAACCTCAGTAAGTTATACTTGTATATTCCTTGATATAAGAAACAAACACCAAAGAAAAATGAACAGTGTTTAAGATCAAAGCCATTAGCAAATATTTAGGAAAAATAAGGAGTTAAAAGGAAATGACTACTTTGTGAAGGTAACAAAAAAAGTTAATTTAAAAGGAAATTTTTAAAGGCTAGGAATGATTAAATGGGGAAAGTCTATAGGGTTGTGAGAGGTAACAGTTCAAGTTGGACTGCAGAAGGGGACTGAAGGCAAAGGTGGTAGGACTGGCAAAGAGAGAGCCCTGTGGTTTGCAAAGTCCCTGGTCAGTCTGTGCTCCGGCAGAGCAGGAATCCAGGAAGGCAGCCTAACAAGACGTGGTCAGGGTTTCATCAGAAGCTGAATCCGTGCCTGGCAGAGCTGGTTGTAGCTGGAAGCAGGTGATAGGCACTCAGGCACCTAGGAGAAGACAGGAGTCTTTGAAGAACTCACAGAAGGTGATTGGGGTAAAAACAGGGATATCACAAAATTCTTACTGTGAGTAATCGCAGCATAGTCTTGACTTCACACATTGGCACCTGGATCCTGTGGAATCGATTTGGGCAGTCACGGTTCCCAGTGTGCTTCTCTGCTGCCCTCAGCCAGGTCCTGCCATTGGCTGTCTCCAGATCCATCTTCCTCTCCTCAACCACAGGACAGTTTTGAAAACATGAATGATACTGGTTATAAATATTTGGTGCGAATCCTCTGACCTGGAGGATGCTTAAGCTCAGCTGCCATAAGCTGTGGCACACAGATGGCTCCTATTTGGGAGGGAGGGATGCGGACAGTGTCCTGACACTTGGTTATGCACATGAAAAGCAAAGGCTGAGAAACATGCTGTTGAACATCATAGAGTTTGTGTCAAATTCATAGTTGTTTTGATCTGACTTGATAAATTGATCTTTATTTATCTGATTATGAACAGTTGCCCCCTAGAGAGCAACAAAATTAATGTGAACTAAGGTGACTGACATTGACTACACAACGGAGTTCTGTGGCTAGAACAGCCTCACAATGTCTTAATGATAAAGAAGTTCTTTTAGACATTCTTGACTGTAAGTGAAGAGTATGCTGGTGAAGAAACATGGATTCCTCCTACCCAACTCTGATGATCCTATGTACTTGGAAGTAAATACATTAGATTGACCTCCAAATCTAGAACCTCAAAGATGTCGACACACACACAGATGACCATAGTAAGCAATTCCTCAGAATTCTAGACCTCGGACTTCCAGAGAAGCAAACATCATTTCACATGTAGCACCTACAGGCAAGGCACCATGGGGGGATAGGACGTCACTGAGCCAACCCGGGCAGACCGAGTAGGCACGGCAGCTGCCCCTCAGTCAGAACCACCGACCCAGGGGAGGTGGTAGCGGAGGGGATGAGCCAGCCTGGAAGCCCCACAAGTCCAATGGGTGGAGACAAACGTGTCAGGTCCTGCGTCTCCCAAACAACAATCCAGAGCCTCTTTTCAAACGAGGTTTTTGCAAAAAAAAACAGTCACCCTCTAGAAAGTGGAAGATCTAACACCTGCCTGAGGACGTGTGGTACACAAAGCCCCGGCCCACAGTTTCTGTGGTCAGGAGGGGCTCCAGGGAGGCTCCCTTCAACAAGGAAGGAGCAGAGACTTGAGCACCCAAGACACGGGTCACCGGGACACAATTTTTTTCACAATGTGGCTTCTTTGATGTTGAACGAGGTATGAAGTTCGGGTGAAGCCTTTCCCACATGCATCACACTCGTGGGGTTTCTCACCAGTGTGGATTTTCTGATGCTCAATAAGGCTTCTGTTCCTCATGAAACTTCTCTCACACTCACGACATTTATAAGACACGGGAGCCTGGACATCCCCCTCCTGGCTCACCAGCTTCCTGTGACTCTCCCGAATCTCTCTCCGCTCAGGATCCTGGACATCTCCATCACCATGGATCCTCTGATGTCTCAGGAGATGGGAATTCCTCCTGAAGGCTTTGCTACATACGCCGCACTGGTACGGCTTCTCCCCGGTGTGGATTCTGTGATGCTCAAGGAGGCTGCAGCTCTGGCTAAAGGTCTTCCCACAGTCCTCACACTCGTAGGGCTTCTCCCCAGTGTGTGTTCTTTGGTGCTTGATAAGGTTGGAGCTGTGACTGAAGACCCTGCCGCATTCTTCACACGCATAGGGTTTCTCCCCAGTGTGGACTCTCTGGTGAATGACGAGGGCCGAGCTGCCGATGAAGGACTTGCCGCAGTCTTCACACGCGTACGGTTTCTCCCCAGTGTGGATTCTCCTGTGCTTAGTCAGGCCTGAACTCTGGGCAAAGCTCTTTCCACACTCGTGGCAAATGTGCCGCCTTCTCCCACTGCTGTTTTTCGGCTTTCTCAGTGATCTGTCCTCCTGGCCACCGGCCTCTGAGTGTGCGGGTGTCCGGGCAATGGCTTCACCCAGGTGGCACCGCATCTGCCCTGGCCCCTGCTCCGTCTGCTCCTCGGCTAGAGGCAAGTCTCTGGTCTTCGTCTGTATTTCACCACCTGAAATAACAAAGGGCCAGCAACTGTCAGTCACGCCCTGCCTCAGAGGAAAGCTCCCTGCTAGTCCCAGGGAGGCAAGAACAGCAGCAGTCTGGCTCTGATGTGGACGAGGATTTAGGTGCGAGAATCAGGATGGAGGCTCAGAGGGAGAACAGGGGTGCTGGGGGGAAGGAGACCTGGGCACAGGAACGGGTCCATCGGAAGAAGGGTACAAACTGAGAGTGGAGGGAAGGGGTGAGGCCCATGCTGGGCCCTAAGTTGTGGTGATGGTCAGGCAGGGCCTTGCACCCTGGACAGGAGAATAAAGGACTGGGCAGGATTGTATGCAAGGCAAGTGAACGGACTTCAGAGCATTCGGTACAAATCAGAGTAAGGAGCTCAGGAAAGCACAGTTCCGTCTGCTTGTCCCAGGCAGAGTTGGGGTCCCCCCACACAAATGGCCTCTGCACTGGGGAATCTGGGTTGGAGCAACAGGGGAACTCAGACAAGCCCCGCCTCCTGTGAGCCCCTGGGCCCTCATCTCTGAGTCAGGCTCCCTGGTGGTCACTAAGTGGCTTCCACCTGTGTGTTCTGGTCCCGTGGCCTGTGTCCTGAAGAGACCCTTCAGCTCTCCCCTCTCTGGGCTAAGCCACAGGAAAGGAATCAACTCGGACTGAGTGTCAGCTCCAAGCCAGACCTGTCCTGCCTTTTCACTCCACTCCACCTGCCTAAAGCACAGGACGGTTAAGGCGCTGGAGGATGACAAGGGTTAGACACCCTGATTCCAAACCCAAACACAGCGGGTCCCAGTGGCTTCTAACAGCCCAGCTGGTTCTAAGGCACCAAGGAAGCCAGGAAACCTCGTGAGCCACCGGTGCCCATATGTCTTACCCAGGGAGGTCAGAGTGCCACAGGCCTCCTGCCAGTCATCTCTGCACAGGTTCTCCTGAGGTGACTCCAGCTCTGTCCATGCTGGGGAGACCGTCACAGCCACTCCCATTTTCAGCAGCCCCTGAAACAACAGGTAACCCCCTAGCTCCTCTGCTCGGGATGGTCCCAGAGCTGAGCACATACAGGAATACACATTCCTCTTTTACCAACTTAATCCTCACTCTCATCGCATGTTTGTCAAGGAAACAACCGCTAAAGAAGGAAATATCTCACATTAGGGGAAGTGCTTTCCTTTAATCCTAAACAATCCAGAATGTGAAAAGGTTCAACAAGGGCTAGCACACTGAAAGCAGAGAAGCTGTATCCAGACCTTTTTGGCTACAGGGTTTGGGGATCAAAAATACGCAGAATGTGAAATCCTCTCACACAGGCCCCTGCACTCGGCCCTGTGGAGGGCAGGCTTCCCTCCAGACACTTGTACTTAAGTTAGTGTCCAAGCTACTTTCTCAGGTGCAGCTCAGGTTTACCCACATCCACCACTGCCCTCCCACCCTCACCTACAAAGAAACTGCTCCTTGGTTCTGCCTGGGGGGAAGTGTGGTTCACATCTGGGAGAGCCCAGGAGCTGTTCTTAGTTCAGTGTCACTTATTTGGCCAGAGGGGAGTGAGGAGCCGCCCAGTGACGGCACTGCATTGCGCGTTCGTGGGCTGGCTGGAAGTTTTGTTGTGCTCCGTTGAAGGTGCCATTTTAAATTTTATTTGTTGTACGTCTTTTCTTATGAACTTAAGTTCTGTAATTTACACCTGGAATGTTAGGGTCTGCGCGGCCAGCGTCCGGCCAACCTGTCTGGTGGGGTTAACCCCTTGTCTTTTCAACTAATTTTTGAAAATACTGTATTCGTTTATTTATTTTTAGACGGAGGAGGGAAACATCAAAGTGTGGTTGCTTCTGGAGCGCCCCCTACTGGGGACCTGGCCCCGCAATGTGCCCTGATAGAGCAATTTTTATATTAAAAAAAAAGGAAAAAAAACACATTAAAAAGAAAAGGAATGAAGAGCCTGAAGATGAGCAACTTGAAATGATTTCACTGTTAGAGCGCCGGGGAGCACTCCCTCCCAAATATTCTTACAGTTAAATGGGGGGCGGGGAAGTATTTATATATTTTTTCGCTAGCCTCTAACAGAGATTCAGCATTTCCTTCCCTTATAAATGGAAGTAACAAAGCCAAGTGTCATAAGCACATCCGGGTATTTGCGAGAGAAATTGCAGGTGTTTTCGCGTCACGTTGCAACCTGGCAAATGTTGTCGCCGTCACTGAGGCTTGTAACCCTTTGAAATGACCAGTGATGAGGCCCGTCCCTGGATCTTGCTATTCAGTGCATTCACTTAGAGAAGCGCGTACATATCTTTGTCACACAATTACATATGCCCTGCAACTGCATTTCCACGTAATTGAGCTCTTCTGTGATCCTTAACATGTTTAAAGATGTTATTGTGGGAGGGGCCCGGGGCTTCACCTGCCCGCCAAGGAGGCTCCGCGCACGCTGACTGCGGTTCTGGCGGGAACGCCCCCGCTCGGCGCGCGAGTGTCCGGCTCTCAGTCCCCGCGCCCACCCTCTACCTGCGGCTCGGGCTCCGCCAGCGGCCCCTGCAGATCCTCCAGCAGCGCCACGGCCTCCTCGCAGCTCTGCGGACGCCGCCCCCGCACCCGGGCCCGCAGCCCCGCGGGCAGGATGCGCAGGAACTGCTCCAGCACCAGCAGCTCCAGCATCTGCTCCTTGCTGTGCGTCTCGGGCCGCAGCCACAGCCGGCAGAGCTCGCGGAGCCGGCGCAGCGCGCGGCGGGGACCCCCTGCCTCGGGGTAGCGGAAGCCGCGGAAGCGCTGCCGCGAGCGCTCGGGGCCCGGCACCTCCTCTTCCTCAGCCTTCACGGCCAGGATCCCGGCCCCATCCTCGGCCGCCCGGGCGTCCAGGCCCGCGCTCGCCCCCGACTCTCTGGCCATCCTGGGCCCGGGCCACACTCGGGCCTCCCTGTACCGCAGCTGTTTCCGCAGAAGATTCCCGGTGGTGGGAGGTCGTCGTCCGCCTGTCACACGGCAGGGACACCCCTGGGCGCGGCTGCACGGCTTTCTCCCGCAGCCGCGCCTCGGCAGCGCTGTCCTCTGCGCCCCACCCCGAACCCCGAGGATGCGCGCTGAAGCTGGAGCAACACCGGCTTGCGGGGAGATTGCCTTCCCGGGCTCTCTAGGAAAAGCCTCTCGGTGGCTGTTCCCAGATTAACCCCTTTGCTTCGTGGCCTCACCTCCACTCCGGGAGGAAGGGGGTGGGTGGGAGAGAAAGAGTGACGCGTTCTGTATCACGAGAAACCCTCTGTAAGGATCCTGCTGGGTCCCCAGTGCTCGGAGCTAAGCGCGAGTAAAGAGTTGGCACAAACTCGATACAAATTAAGAAGAAAGCAGAGCTTCCTCGGGGCTCCTGGCGTTCTGGGCCGGAGAACCTTCCTTCCCCCGAGAAACCGCACCAGGCAGTTGCTGTCAGGGAGTAGGGGTAGCCCCGAGGCCTTGCCCCTCCAGCCGCCTTTGTCTCTCCTCCCCTTGGAGGCCAAACTGCTTGAAAGAAAGCACACACACCTGACTGTAGTCCTCACCTTCCACGTACCCTTAACACACCGTAGGCCACAAACTGCCAACAAAGCCATTGACACTGCTCCCTCAAAAGTAACGGTAGCTCCCTCCACCCCCACCCCCAGCCGCGACCAGCTAGCTACCACTTTCTATTTCCCGTGCTTCCTTACAGGCTTCCCGCTTCCCGAAGCTCTACTCCCTGGCTTCAAGGACCTATTTTCCTGCCCCCTTTATTCTGGTTTTTCTCAGACCTCATTCACAGTCTGGCATTGCGCTTAGATCCAAAGACTCTCAAGCCAAGTTACCTGGGTTCATAAACCTGGTTTTACCACATTCTAGCTGGGTGACCTTAGTAAATTACTTAACCTCTTCCTGCCTGACTTTCTCAACCTATAGTAAAAAGGAATAGTGATAGCAGACAAAGATGTTGTGAGCAGCAGGTGGTTTTTTAATGTAAAGTGTTTAGAACAATGGCTGGCCTATAGTAAGCTAAGCCTACCCTAAAATGCAAGGAAGCCCTGAGATTTCTTTGAACCAGATGGGACTAGATTTTAAGCCACAGGTGACTCCAGTTATTTTGCTGAAAGAGATATCAGTAAGTCGCCTTTCCACCCTATGGAATGAACTTCGATAGAAGTTTTAAGTGGAAGAATACCATGCTGACAAGTTCCTAAGTTTTTTTTATTTTATTTTTCAATTACAGTTGACATTCAATATTATATCAGTTTCAGGTGTACAGCATAGTGGTTAGACAATCATATATAATACTTTGCAAACTGTTTCTCCTGATATTTTTAGTGCCCACCTGGCACCATAGTTATTACAATATTATTGACAATATTTCCTATGCTGTATTTTACCTCCCTGTGACTGCTTTGTAACTACCAATCTCTACTGCTTAATCCCTTCATTCTTTTTCTTCCAGTCCCCCAATACCCCTCCCCCCCCCGGCAAACACCAGCCTGCTCTTTGTGTCTATGAGTCTGTTTCTGTTTGGTTTGTTCATTTGTCTTGTTCTTTAGATTCCACACATAAGTAATATCATATGATACAAAATTTGTCTTTCTCTGACTCACTTCACTGAGCATTATACCTTCTAGGTCCATCCATGTTGTAGCAAATGGTAAGATTCTTTTTTATTGCCAAATAATATTGCATTGTATATATGTACCACAGCCTTTTTATACAATCATCTATTGATAGGCACTTGGGTTGCTTCCATACCTTGGTTATTATAATGCTGCAATGATTCCTGAGTTTTTATTCCTCAGTCTATCCCTCTGCAGTTCAAAGAATAACAAGGAAGAGATAGAATTTAAGAAAATGAAAGGTCACACAGGCTGTCACAAATGAAAACTCTTAGAAAATATTTTTCTCTTGATGAACTACCACAGGTGGTAGCAGAGCACTACCCTGAAGTACTGTAGGCATAATAAGAGAGCATAAATCTAATTTAGTTTCTAGATACTAATGTCTGTGTATTGGTCACATACAGAAGCAAGTTAGCAGTTTCTAATAGTTGCAGGACATAAGAATCATTGGGGAGCTTTTTAAAACATCCTGAGCCCTGGCTGGTTTGTTTCATTGGGTTGGGCATTATCCTGCAAACCAAAAGGTTACTGGTTCAATTCCAGGTCAGGGCATATGTCTGGGTTGTGGGCCAGGCCCTCAGTTGCAAGAAGTAACTGATCAACCCTTCTCTTCCTCTATTTATCCCTCCCCACTCCTCTCTCTAAAATTAAATAATTTTAAAAAACCATCCTGATACGTTGGCTATACCCAAGATCAATTAAATCAGAATGTCAGAAGATAGGTGGGACTCATATGTGAATAACTTTAAAATTCCCTGGATGATTTCAATATGCAGGTGAATTTGAAAATTAATAAGTTATATAATACTTAAAAGAAGTAATCAACCAAATCCAAAATGTGGGACATTTTATAGGACAAAAGAGTTAGGTTCTTCATCAAATAAATGACATCTTTTTAAAAGGCAACAGAGGAAGGTGAACTATCATAAATTAAAAGAGACTGAATAGCTATATCAAACAAATGCAACAGTAAACCTTATTTGGTCCTGATCAGAACAAAGCAACTATAAAAAAGATGTATTTGAAAAACTAGAACACAATGACAGTAAATAATTACTGTGAATGTAGTTGCCCTATGATAACATGGTTAAGACAAGTCTTCATTTGTTGGAAATTCATAATGAAGTATTTGAGGGTGAAATGACATAATGTCTGGATTTGCTTTGAAATACTCTGAAAGAACTAGAAACACAAAAGAAATGGTACAAAAATGATTGTTGAAGTTGGATGAGAGGCATGATGGAGTCATTGTAATTTTCTCTTTACACTTGTTTATGTTTGAAATTTTCCATAGTAATTTTTCATTAAATAAAAAATTTGCCTTCCATCCGGCTTCAGTCCCAAAGCCTTCAGGTGGAGCCAGAGGAAGTGGGAGAGGAGGCAGCAGCCCAGCCCAGCGAGTCTGAAGCCCAAGTGGAGTGAGGAGAGTGTGTTCACCGGCGGGGGGAGGGATGCTGCGGCAGTAAAACGACACTGAGACCTCACCGTCCTGTACTCCGCAGACCCCGTCCAAGTGTCACCAACCTTTGATTTGAGATGTCAGCCCACCCGAGCCCAGCCTTTTATCTGAGGTCTGAGCAAGAAGACATACAAGAAGGATCCATGAATTAGGTAAATGAACTTAACACATTAGGGACCACAGTAGTGAACAAAGTGTGTAGGGAAAGTTCTTCCAAAACCACAATGTTTCTGAAAAAATTAGCGATAGAGACATCTACAAGACGCAGTTGGATGCATCCCTGATTCTGGGTAGAAAGTCTGTGAATTTAAGAATAAAATCATGACTCTGGCCCTAACTAAGCTAAGAGGTTGAGTTCAAATTTTGATTCCAAAAGAAGTCCTGGAGGAGCGAGTGGGGTCGGGAGTCGTTCCTGAACCGAAGTCCGCCGCGCGGCTGGTGCGCACGCTCCTCTCGGCGGCCGCCCGAGGCGAAGGGCCGGAAGTGGCTACGCGAGGAGCGAAGGGCAGGTTACAGAGGGGAGAGGGCGAAAACCTAAGAGGGATGCTCCCACACGGAGGGGTTCATTGGTGTGAATTCGCCTTCTTGGGTTCCCGCGGGGCTCGGGTTGGGCGACGTAAACCCCAAACACAGGCGCGGCCGTGCCCGTGACCTACTCGAGGAAAAAACCCTCCGACTTCCTTGGCCCTCAAGCGGTCGGGGCTTTGCCTGGTAAGCGGCCGGAAGTGGCCGGAAGCGACCGGAAGCGGAAGCGGGACTGCGGCTGGCGCGTCTGCGCGAGCGGGAGTCTTTGCCCGCCACGTTCCTTGTGATAACGGCCTCGCGTTGACCAGTTGGTCACCTGTGAAAGCGCGGCCCATGGCGCCAGTGTCCCGTTCTCGCTCTCCCGAGGACACCCCGGACTCCCAGAGACGGCGACGCAGCTCGCCGGGAAGCAGCAGTTCCCTCTCTCAGACCCGCGGCCGTGAGATCCTCGGGCCTCCGTGCGGTAGGTCGGCCGGCGCTCCTTACCTCCGCAGTGGCTCCGGGTCTCAAGAGCCCCCTGTGCTGCACAACTACGCTTTCTCGTCCGCTTCCTCCACGTACTGCGGAGGAGACCGGTACCATCACCGCAATCTCGCGGGCGACCGGCAGTGGGCGGAGCACTACGACGTGAAGGAGAGCTACCGGCAGAGGCGGCTGAAAGAGAGGGAAAGGATCGGGGAGCTGGGAGCTCCTGAGGTGTGGGGCCTGTCTCCGAAGTACCCAGAGCCGGATTCTGATGAACACAGCCCAGTTGAAGGTGAAGATGTGAAAACTCAGAAGGTCAGCAGCAGTTCAGATTCCAGCTCCGAAAAAAAAAGGAAAAAGAAGGCCAGTCATTCAAAAAACAAGAAAAGAAAGAAAAAGTCCAAAAGAAAATATAAGAAATATTATGGTAATAGTGACAGTAATTCAGACTCTGACACTAATTGTAGCTCTGATGAAGGGAAAAAGAGAGCCAAGAAAGCCAAGAACAAAGAAAAGAAAAAGAAACACAGAGGCGGAAATTGCAAGAAAAAGAAGAGTAAAAAGACTGGGAAAGAACCGAATGACTCAAGTTATAAAGATTGTGAAGGGGAGCTGCCAGAAGATAACTGGTTTGAGCACTCAGATATTACAGATACCATGGATCTCATCGGTCCAGAAGCACCTGCAATTCATACCTCGCAAGATGAGAAGCCTTTGAACTATGGCCATGCTCTGCTCCCAGGTGAAGGCGCAGCCATGGCAGAGTATGTGAAAGCTGGAAAGCGGATCCCACGAAGAGGTGAAATTGGGCTGACAAGTGAAGAAATTGCTTCATTTGAATGCTCAGGCTATGTTATGAGTGGCAGCAGGCATCGCAGAATGGAGGCTGTACGACTGCGTAAAGAGAACCAGATCTACAGTGCAGATGAGAAGAGGGCCCTCGCATCCTTTAACCAAGAAGAGAGGCGGAAGAGAGAAAATAATATTCTGGCCAGTTTCAGAGAGATGGTGTACAGAAAGACAAAAGGGAAAGATGACAAATAAGACTTTTGTTCTATAGCAAGACTTTGAACAACAATTTTCTATGACGAAAGTAGTATTTAAAGGCTTTATGGTGCTACTGTACCTATGTTAATAAATTGTTGAAGGAAACCCTGCTTTTTGAGATCTCTTTAGCAATTTTTTATTTCAATTTAAAAAGTATTATGTGACCATGGTTTTAAACATATTCAAACACTACAGGAGAGTCAGGAAAATGTGTCTTCACTGAAGTCCCTGATCCTTCTCCCTAAAGTAATCAATCTCTCAATCTCTCCCTCCTGCCCCCCTCGGTGTATTCTATACCTGTCCATGAGTTCTTTGTACATACAGGCATAATGTTGCAGAAAAAAGGTTGGAGCTAATAACCCAAAGGGGTTTTGTTTCTCTTGTTGCCCTGACTGCTGTCTGTGAAGGTTTCATTTATTTGCCCCAAGGGGAACCAGAAAAACTCCACAAAGAAGAAAGGATTCAATCAATTGTATATTTTTAGTTGCATTTAACAGACTGAGTTTTTAAAAATAGAGGTTTGCTGACATACAACCGAAGTGCGGCAGGACAGTTTTCCTGCATGGCTATAATAGGACATTGGCTTCTTTCCTCTTTGTTCTCTATGAATCATTTCCCTCTTCAGGCTGGTTTCTCTCAGAAGAAAAGGTCAGCAAAAGCACCTCAGTTAGGTTATATATTTCCTGGTCCACCTCTAAAAATATAAAACTTTTTTTGTTTTGGCATTGCAAACAATCCTGAGATTCATCCTAATTGGATTAGGTTAGGTCACATGCCCATCATAAAAAAAAAATGTTGCTGCCAGGGAAATAGAAAATAGCTTATTTCTGGAGCTGTTGGTTTCATCTGTTTATGGGCTATGTGGGGAAGGAAAGGATTCCTAAATGAAAATCAGGGTAACATTGGGAAGGGGGATAGGCAACCAATAAGTGCCCACTACAATTTTGAATAATTTCTAAATATATTTTATTGGTTATGCTATTATAGTCCCATTTTTTTATCTCTCTTGTGCCCCTCCGCCCTCATCTCCCCTCCCACCAGCATTCCTTCCCCTTAGTTCATGTCCATGGATCATACATATCAGGTCTTTGCCTTCTCCATTTCCTATACTATTCTTTTTAAAAAATATTTTATTGACTATACTATTACAGTTGTCCTTTTTTCTCCCTTTTATTCTCCTCTGCCCTGCACCCTCTGTCCCACCAGCATTCCCCCCCCCCCCTTAGCTCATATTCGTGGGCCATACAAACAAGTTCTTTGGCTTCTCCACTTCCCATACTGTTCTTAACCCCCCTGCCTATTTTGTACCTATCATTTATGCTTTTTATTCTCTGTACCTTTCCCCCATTCTCCCCCTCTAATAGCCCTCCATGTGATCTCCATTTCTGTGATTCTGTTCCTGTTCTAGTTGTTTGCTTAGTTTCTTTTTGGTTTTGTGTTTAGTTTCAGTTGTTGATAGTTGTTAGTTTGTTGTCATTTTACTGTTCATAATTTTAATCATTTCCTTTTTCTTAGATAAGTCCCTTTAACATTTCATATAGTAAGGGCTTGGTGATGATGAACTCCTTTAACTTGACCTTATTTGGGAAGCACTTTATCTGCCCTCCTATTCTAAATGATAGCTTTGCTGGATAGAGTAATCTTGGATGTAGGTCCTTGCCTTTCATGACTTGGAATACTTTCCAGCCACTTCTTGCCTGTAAGGTTTCTTTTGAGAAATCAGCTGATAGTCTTATGAGAACTCCTTTGTGGGTAACTGTCTCCTTTTCTCTTGCTGCTTTTAATTCTCTCCTTATCTTTAATCTTTGATAACTTAATGATGGTGTGTCTTGGCGTGTGCTTCCTTGGGCCTAACTTCTTTGGAACTCTGAGCGTCCTGGACTTCTGCAAGTGTATTTCCTTTGCCAGATAAGGGAAGTTCTTCATTATTTTTTCAAATAAGTTTTCAATTTCTTGCTCTTCCCCTTCTCCTTCTGGCACCCCTATGATTCAGATGTTGGAACGTTTAAAGTTGCCCCGGAGTTTCCTAAGCCTACCTCATTTTTTTTTATTCTTGTTTCTTCATTCTGTTCTGATTGAATGTTTATTTCTTCCTTCTGCTCCAAACTGTTGATTCGAGTCCCGGTTTCCTTCACATCACTGTTGGTTCCCTGTACATTTTCCTTTATTTCACTTTGCATAGCCTTCATTTCTTCCTCCATTTTGTGACCATACTCAACCATTTCTATGAGCATCTTGATTACCAGTGTTTTGAACTGTGCATCTGATAGGTTGGCTATCTCTTCATTGCTTAGTTCTATTTTTTGAACTTTGATTTGTTCTTTCATTTGGGCCATATTTCTTTGTCTTGGCAAAGAAATTGCCATTATAAGGTGCAGAGCCTTAGGTATTTGCCACGGTGGGGCAACCCACCTCAATGCATTTTGGTGCTGTATGTGGGGAAGGGTTCCAGAGGGAATGATGCCACTTTCTCAGCTCTCCAGTGGCTTTCAGTCACTTCTCTGCTACCTACAAGCAAATTGGGCCTTTCTGGTGCTGATTTGAAGGTAGGTAGGTGGGTTTGTGTACATTCTAGGACCCTAGGGGTCTCTCCAATGAACTCTCCTGTGAGGCTGGGAGTTTCTCCTGCTGCTGCAGCCCCCACAGGTTTTTTCAGTCAGAGGTTTTGAGACTTTATTTCTCCTCTTTGGAACCCTGGGTTGCTTTGTCTGTCTGGCTCCCCAGTTGTTCGTCCTGGTTCATCTGCATGCAAATGTGGGACCACCCACTCCACTAGCCACCACCTCACCCAGTCCTCCAGCTACCACCTTGCCACGAGTCCTCTCCATTCCAGCTGCCTCTCTCTGCCCCTCCTACCAGTCTGGATGGATGCTCCTTCTTTAACTCCCTGGTTTTCAGACTTTCATACAGTTTGATTTTCTGGTAGTTCTGGTTATTTTTTATTTTTAAATTTGTTGTCCTTCTTTTGGTTGTGTGAGGAGGCAAAGTATATCTACTTATGCCTCCATCTTGGCCAGAAGTCTTGAATGTTTTTTTTTTTTAATAGAATACAGTACATGTGCTGAATGCCAAAATTTTCCTGCTGATTTGCTTTGACTATTAGAAGCCAGATAACATGATTGAAGGGGGCAAAGGGTTTATCCATAAAAATAGATAGGAAAGAGATAACATGAAGAATTAGAGTGTTTGTGTCTTCCAAAGAGTAGATTAGGTGCCACCTAAACAAGAAAAGAAAGGGGGAAAAGAGAGATGGTATAGCTCTGGCTGGTGTGGCTTAATGGGCTGAGCACCAGCCTGCAAATCAAGTTAGCTGGTTCAATTCCCAGTTAGGGAACATGCCTATGTTGCAGGCCAGGTCACCAGTTGGGGCACTCAAGAGGCAACTGTGTGAGAGGCAACCAGCAGTGTATCTTGCGCATCAAAGTTTCTCTCCCTCTCTTTCTCCCTCTCTTCCTCTCTCTCTAAAAATAAATAAATAAAATCTCAGAAGGCAGTTGGTAGAGCTCATGAGAAGAGGACCAGGTCTTGAGGGACCACATGGATAAGACAGTTAGAGATGCTGGCTCACACCAGTGCTGGGGAAGACTTTGGAGTGAGCTTCCCTTATATATAATCAATGGTAAGGTCTTTGTTGTCACCCAGTGACATTTGCCTTAACACTTGAGATTTCATTTGAATAATCAATTTTGCAAGGCTCGAGATCCTAGTAAGCCCCATAGTGCTGAAGGTGATAGGGGTGGTGTTCTAGAATTTGTCAGGGCAGAACTATGTGAAAAGGCAACTTTACCCCAAAATGTGACTTAACTCACCTATGACCACACTAGCTTCAGATTTACAAAAAAAAATTGTTGGGGAACACTGGTGAAAGCCACCTTGTTACATATGTACATTTCCATTTTTAGAAAGAAACTATACCACACTATACACATGAATATGCACCTTGTTTTGTTTTTTTAAGATTTATTTATTTATTTTTAGAGAGAAGGAAGGGAGGGAGAAAGACAGGGAGAGAAACACTAATGTATGGCTGCCTCTCACATGCCCCCACTGGGGACCTGGCCCACAACCCAGGCATGTGCCCCGACCGGGAATCAAACTGGTGGCCCCTTGGTTCGCAGCCCACACTCAATCCACTGAGCCACACCAGCCAGGGCTGCACCTTGTTTTTTTCACTGAACAATACGTCTTGGAGATGTTTTATATCAATGCATATAAACCTACTTTGTTCTTTGTAGTGACTTTATCATATTCTATTGTATGGAAGGACCATATTTTATATTGGATGTTTGTTTTCTATATTTTGTGATTACACGATACTGTATTGAAAATCTCTGTGTGTGTATAAGTGTAGTATCTGTAGTATATTCATCTAGAAATAGAATTATTGGGTCAGAAAGAACTCTTTGAGTATCTAATAATGGCCACCTAAAAGTGCAATCATGGAATGAAAAGGAAGATACTTCTATGGGCTAAGAACTAGGGCAGGTATTGGAGAGAAACCAAAGAACAACTTAGGCTTGATTCCTGCCATTATAGGATTTTACATATACTTTAAAAAGTGAGCAGACAAGTATAAACTGTAGTATATTATGAAGAAAGTAAGGGGCTGAAGATAGTAATAGGGGACATTTTTTGATAGAGTGGTCAGAAAAGTGTAGGAATGTCACAATCCAGCTGTATGTGCTTTTACATTTTAATAGATCTGCAACACTGCCTTCCAAATAAGATGAACCAGTTTATCTGCCTACAAAATTGTTCTTCTAAAACCTTTTGATATGTGCCAATCTGATAGGTGAAAATGGCATTTCATTTTTAATTTAATTTCTTTAATTAAAAGTAAAGTTGATATATGAATGTTTTGTAATTCTTTTTTGTGTATATGTAAACTACCCTCATTATAACCTTTGTCCATTTTCTTACTGGGTTGTTGATGTCTTCTTACTGGTCCTAAGAACTTTTCACATAATACATTAGACCTTTATCACATATCATGCATATATTCCCCCTCCTGTTTGACTTTTGAATTGCTTTTTCTGGGAGGCACTTGATCATATTGCTATTTAAGACCTAAAAATATTCCCTAACACTAGCCATACAATTCAATATATTTGTCTTTCTCACTTGGGAAAAAGCTGCAGCTAAGGAACCATGGCTTCTAAGTCAGCCAGGTTAAGGTTGGCTTATTCAAAAAGACAGAAGTTCTTTTTCTTTTTCAAAAAGACAGAAGTTCTCATGGCAAGATTTTGTGCTGTCATGATGGTTTAACTTGCTGTTTAATGTTGTTATTAGGACACTGGCCAGTAAATCTGCCTTAAGAGAGATGTGAAAGTTGGAATTTGTGGATTGCTTTGTCTCAAGAGAGCTAATAAGAGTTAGAACTACTATTTTTAAAAAAGTAGTTTTGCCCAAAGTACATGGCTATATGGGTTGTGGACTACAAAATAGCACAACAAAAATTTTGTGTTATGTTTAGTTTTCAGGAAACCATCAAAATCACTTTTTTACTAAATTCTGCTCAAGGAGGAAATTGAACAGAATAAATAGTTTTTCTTAACCACAAAAGTTACACTGATCTTTAGTCAGTGCTGAGACACAGCCCAAGAAAGTAAACTATTGAGGCTACTGCTAGTTAATTTAAAATTGAAAAATTTTATAAAACACCATTAAAATACTTATTTCATGACTTTATGGAATCATCTTTGATAATATTTCACAAAATATAAAACTCCCCCACAGGTGTAAGGGATCCAATGGGCATTTTCACGGTACTTTTTAAAAAGTTCTGTAACACAGGGAAGGTATTTCTTATAACTCTTAGGGAGTGAACAGCTTAGGAAGTGAGAAATATATTTGGCAATATTGCTATCATTTTATTTTTAACAAATTCAGCTGGATTTTTATAAGAACACTTGTAAGAATTTCACCATCAAGCGTGAGGGAGGCTTTTGGTTTCAGATGTATTTCTTTCTTTTCTGCCATATAAAGGGAGTGTCCATCTATTTCTATTTTATTAGGATTTTCCCTTATTAATCAGAAATGCATGTTGAATTTTATCAAATGACTTTTTAGCATTTGTGGAAATAATATGATTTTTATTAGCCTACTAATATGATGATTTAAAGTACAGATTTCTTAATATTAAACTATGGTTTAAGTTTATTAGATTCATTTGGGGCTTTTGATTATTTAGAATAATCACTGGCCACATCATTTTCTATTTCAAAAATCAGAATAATGTATAAGGTCTTCCTGTATGAACGGAATTGGAGAGAATGGCAGAAAGTGTCGTTACAAAACGATAACTAACTCTGCATAACCACAGGGTAGCGTGAGTTGCATTGCAATAGTGCCTCTACTTAAATGCAGAAAAGAAAGCCTATGTTTTGAGTATCACCATTTTGTTTATTAAAAATGGGAATACTCCTAAAATATGGAAACCTCCACTTTGAAAATTGATTTGTATTAGTAGTGATATTTGCTCTCTCCTGGCAAAAATGGTAATTTGATCTATTTTCACCTTATCTAACCCTATCCCTTCCAAAAGACACAGACTATTTAAATTAAATTTGCACATTTTGAATTGTTTTTAAAAACCCCTCTTTGTTAAACTGTATTAAGTGTTTTTATTTTCATGGGATGCCCAATGCAATGCAAATAAATCAAAGCCTTCATAATATGAATGACATTTAAGACACCAGCCATGGCACAGACTTTGAAAGGGGAAGTAAATAAATTAGTATAGATTTACTTCCTTTTTAAATTAAATTTTATGTTTATCTCATATATTTTTGGGAGGGATGTCCTTCTTTAGAAAAAAAGAAAATCAGATATTTTTCCCTTTAAGACAGAATATTAAATTCTAATTAGTAAAATATTTGCATTGACTGGATTTGTTAGCCTAAGGAAAAGTTTTAAAGTAAATATACTTAACTCTTACTTTTAAAATATATTTTCAAACTTTAGACAGTGAAAATGAAAAAGATAACTCTCCCTGTGATGACAAAATATTATTTGTGTTATTGTGGGGGGCGCCCCCCCTCCTGCCCCCAGCTGCCATGGATGAGAATAAGTCTACCAAGACAGGACCTGCTTAGGGAGGAAATGTGGCCCATCTCTCAAAGGAGAGGGGCCAGGAGCCTGTTCCTCAATGGGCTTTTATTGGGTTCAATTTGCATGGGAATACAGGTAAAGCTCATCAATCATTGTCAGGCAGTAAGGATCAAACAGTACATAACATACAAAGAACTATGAAGGCTTACTCTGAGTCAGGGACAGTTAGCTGAAAGGCTATAAACTCTGGGAAACAAACTCATCTCATGCTTGGACCCTTATCAGAAAATTGAGGGCATTCTTAGCAAAGCCGGTTCCACAGGATTTTAAGAATTCTTTCTTAGAACTGATCTCCGGGAAACCCCCTGTTTCTGCCCAGGGCTGCACCACCCTCCGCCCTCTGTCTTTGTTTCAGGGTTAAGTCAGGAGGGGGAAGTAAGGTAGCCAAGAGATTAGGAGACTTCTTGCAGACACAATGAGGACTCAGGCTATGTCAAAGCTGAGGGGTGAGGGTCCATCACCCCCTTTTTCTATAGCCCCTCCAAGTCCTTCCCTTGGCAAACTTGCCTATCTTAGGTAGTCCCTCCCTTGAGGAATCTTACCTGTCATTGGCTAACCAGTCATCTGCCTGGGGCCCAGCAGGGTTAAGTAAAAGGGGGGCAGAGGTGGTGCCCCAGCCAGGAAGATAAGCTTTGTCTCTTAGTGACTTATGGTCCCAAGGTCTCTTTACTCAGCCTTAGCCATGGGGGGTTTACAGCTTCTGAAACTAGGCAGGGTGGTTCCCAACATGTTATCATTTCAATGCTTGAAATATTGAATAAATTACATCATAAAATGGTTAGTATGATATTTAATGAGGTTTCAAAACTGTCTAACAATTAAAGTTTGTTCATATTTTAAAGGATTTATTCTGTTCAAAGACTATAAAAATACGGTTTGTCATAAGGTAGGCAAAAGAGGAAATACTTGTTTTCTTCAAATTTTTGGAGAGAACTTATTTTGGCAAATTGATTATTTGATGCTTATCCTCCCTCCTCCAAGCAACATTCATTGCAAAGCATTGATTATTCTCTCCCACAGTAATGTTATTACCTTAAACTTTTTCAATACAAACGTATGCTCATTGTTCAGTGTAATTTTCAAAATACTTTGACAGTTATTTTTGCCACTGGGTTTGGTGGCTTTTTAAACTGGGGAGAAATGGTAAACCACGTGTCTGTGTTTTAATAACGTGAGTGATGCTGGGCTGTTTGTGATAATAGTAAACTAGCTGGCTTGATTCTACATGAATAAAATAAATTTCGGCTTGAAAATGAAAACTCACCTAAGGCCGCGTCTACACGCGCTTCCAACCTCTCCGCCTCCCCCGCCCACCCGCCCAGCGCCCGCAGCGGCCGCAGCGCCCGCAGCCCTCCGCTGACGCAGGACACCAACGAGCCACAGTCCTCCTGCGTCCCTAGAGCGGCGTTCCGAGAACACTGATGTCCTGAATCTCAGCTGGTCTGGGTGAGTGTTGGACTCCTCCGGCGGGTCGCTGCCGGGTAGCAGGCGACCCTGCTCCAGGCTGGGGAGGAACCGCGGCCCGGGGCGTGCGAGCAGCGCGTTCCCTACGGGCGCTGAGAAGCCTTCGTGACGGAGGGGCCGTGCGGACCGGTGGTCCTGGGCCTGTAAGGCGGTGGAGCTGTGGATGTTGTTCAGTGGACGCCGTGGTCGGCTGCAGCTTTCCGGGAGTTGAGTGCGATTTCACACGGGTTAAGGTAAGTCATAGAAGGTAATATTTGAGCAGAAACCTGAAGGAGCTGAGAAGACCTACGTGGCTTTTGGGGGTCGCAGCTTTCTAGGCAGAGGGAACGCCCAGGGCTAAGGCTCCAAAGCGGGAGCCTGGTTGACACATTCGAGGAAGTGTAGGGAGACCGGAGCGACCAGGGCGAGGTTTGCGGAGGATGGGTGCAGAGATCCGGGGTGCGGGGAGGCATTGTATTGGTCCTTTCTTGGTGTGAAAAGAATTTTTGGAAAATTTTGAGCAGAGGAGAAACACCTGATTTATCTTTTAAAGCCTCTATAGCTGGACAAAAGGGGAATCAGGGGAACTGAAAAGTTAGGAGATTATTGCAAGTAATTCAGGTGGGAGTAAAAGGTGTCCTGGACTAGTGTTGTGGAAGATGCGGTTGGAAGTGCTCAGAGGAATGATCTACTTTGAAGGTAGAGCCAACAGGGTTTGCTTTTGGATCAGATGTGGGTCGTGTGAGTATGACAGAAGACAGAGATAAATTTCAGGTTTTCTGCCTGTGGCTGCAAGAGATATTGGAGGAAAGACCTGAGGTTCAGCTTTGAGACCTTGATTATGTCATTTAAGTCTTTAACTCTCACTGTCTGGGTTTTCTTCTCTCTACAGTGAAGGTGGTAATAGTGTCTTCGTGATAGGGTTGCATTAATGCATGTAAAGCACGTATACAGTTTTGCTGGCTTACTGTTTTACTATCCTGAGACATGAAGAGTGAACTAATAAGAAGAAAATTGGAAGATTGGAAATGTTCCAGGCAGAGGAGTGAGAGCGGAAAGGACCCAAGAGCAGGAAAGGGTACTGCAAGTTTGAGAGACTGAAAGTTCATTACATCATAAGGAAATTTTAATCCTATTAGATGTTTTGAACTTGATCCTGAGAATAATGAGCCATTACATGTAATATGCACAGCAAAGACCTAATCGTACTTTCCCTTTAGGAAGATCACTGACTGTAGTGAGAAAGCCATTTGCAGTAGTCGGGTAGGAGAAGACCGTGGCAAAAAGGATGAAGAGAAGTGGGTGGTTTGGGAGATGTTTAGGTATACTCAGTAGAACTTGATTGCCCCAATATATAGTATATGAAAGGGGGCTGGAAAGGTCAGCTTTCAAATTGTCTGTTATACATTGTGTTAGATATATGCAATCACATCATAGAAACAAGCCACCACTAATTCACTATTCTACACTGCATATCTCTGTTACCCAGGTTCTCTAGAGAAGCAGAACCAATAGCAATATATAGATATAGAAATACACATAGAAGAAGATTTATTATAAGGGATTGGCTCACACAGTAATGGAGGCTGGCAAGTTCCAAGGTCTGCAAAGTGAGTCGGCAAGCTGCAGGCTCAGGAGAGCTGGTGATTAAGTTCCTGGCTGAGTCCAAAGGCCTGAGAACCAGGAGATTCAATGATGTAGTTACAGTCGGAAGGCCAGCAGATTCAAGACCCAGGAAGCGCCGATGTTTCTGGTCAAGTTCAAAGGCAGAAAGAAAGCTGATGTTCCAGTTTGAATCTTGTCAGGCAGGAAGAAATCTCTCTTACTTGGGGGAGAGTCTGCTGGTTGTTTTTTTTTTTTTTTTTACTTCTTTTTTTCATTCAGATCTTCAACTGATTAGATTGAGGGTGCCCACATTATGGAGGATAGTCTGCTTCAGTCAGTTGACTGATTTAAATATTAATCTCATTCAAAAACTCCCAGAAAAATGTCTGGACCCCGTGGCCTAGTAAAAGTTTTTAGATAAAAGTAACCATCACAATATCAAACTTTTATTTCTGGCTAATAACTATCACTCATCACTTTCTTGGACTTTTTCACTTCCATTTAGAATAGTAGTATTTGGCAGGGGGAAGAATAGTAGGATTTAGCTTTTTAAATTTTAAGTTCATTTTTGACACAGAAAAGCATACACCAACTGGGAGTGTTTGTATGTGCACATCCAGGAATGTACAACCACAAGCTGCATTCAGAGCCTAGCCAGGCACAGCCACTAACTGAGTAAGCCCCCGTGCATGCTGGTTCAAAGGCAAGTGTCAGCTGCCGGCACGTGCGACTCCACAGATCCTTCCAGTCACTTTAGGAGAACTCCAGATCAAGAATGCAAAGACCCCATACACCAACAGCTTGCTCCAAAGGACAATGGTGACACGTTGGGTTTGAGAAGTTTCTACAAGATATCCAGGTGCCAGGTGACCAGAAGAAAATTTGGATGTGGCACTCTTGAGTTACCTGGGCTGGACAATAAGGAAATCTTTGGATAAAGATAGTAATCAAGTTACAAACACACCTGTCCTCTCCATTCCCCCTTCCTAGCTTCTGCCCCATTTTAACCTTCCATAAAATGTCATATTTTTTGAAAAAGCAATTTTTGCCCATTGTTTTCATGTTCCCATTTTCCTGTGGCAGGCTGACTGCTCAGCCTAACCCACAACCTGAATTGCCTTCTCAGAAGTCAGTGACCTCTGTGTTTTTGTTGTTGTTTGTCTTGTTTTTTTTTAAACTGCTTTATTAACTTCATAATATGTAATGAGCATCTTTCCATGCCATAGGTAAAACTCACCTTCTGACAGAAACTTACAAATTGGTCCAGACGCAGTATTTAGCTAGAAGCTTGTAATGGGAGATTCAGAGGAAACAAGTAACACCAGAAGGTTTACAAGGCATGTCATGAACATGTCAAGTTTAGGGAGCAGGTGTGTCCCCTTTTAACTTTAGGGAAAACATCAGGATTCAAGGCGCAAAGCGGAACTTGCGAAGGTCGTGGTGAGGGGGATCAGTGCTGACTGCCCGTAGACTCTGCTCTCCCTCAGAGTTTCAGTCAGCTGTCTCATCGCCCCACCCTTACCACTGCTCTTGTCTCGTCCTTGCCTGTGGCCGCCTTACATGGAACCACCTACGAAGTCCTCCAGGCTCACAACATTCACCAGCTTCCAAGCAGAGGGCCCAGGGCTCTCCTTCATTAGCATCTGGCTCCTTTTCATCCATTTTTTTCCTGGCATTTTCCATGTTGAGATTTTTTACTGCTTGTTCCTCTTCGGATGCCATTGCTCCTACCCCATCCTTGCTGTCTGCTACTCCCGGTTCTCGCCACGAGTGCACCGCCACAATACTTGGACCCACAGATCTGCTCCCCTTCCCTCCTCCTCCTCCTGTTGGGCCACCACCTCCTACTCAGGGCCACCGCAAGCAGGACCTGAGAAGGGTGCAAGTGACCGCTGGGCCTGATTTGTGTTTTTTAATTGATTGCATGTGTCAGGTCCTAGACTCATCTACCTTCCTGTGACATTTCGCACTCCTGAGCACTGTGTTTTCATAGAACCCCAGTTACAAATCGGTGAATTTGTGTCCTTTACAATTATCATCTCATTCACCTCAAAACATCTCTGAACTAGGTGTTACCTTCATCTTTCAGGTGAGTAAACTAAGTCTCCAAGAGGATAAGGAACTTGTCCCAGGTCACTGCTGGCAAGTGACAGGGCTGGATCGGAACATGTACAGAAATGGCTCCCCCTGGCCTTCCGGACACTGTTCCTTCTCACCTCTCTTCTGTGTCATCGGAGTTTCCTGGGTTCCAGCCACCACTAACTGTTGCGTCGCCCTGAATCTGCCAGGCTTTCTTTCCCCAGCAGCTCTGTGCTCAGCCTTGGCTCTGACTGAAAAAACCCATTCTCTGTTTTCTTGCCTGCTTCGCCTTCACTTGTCTTTTAGGACTCAGAAGGACCTGCCTCCAGGAAGGAGCCTCACCACCGTGCCCCACTGATACCCTGTGCGTCCCTCCGCTGTAGCCCTGCGTGCGCTGCTTTGTGGCCTCTTGAGAAGCAGAGAACAGTGGAGGCAGGGAGCTGGGTCCCTCTCTGTGTTTCTGGCCACTGAGGGTCTAGCGCATAGTAGACGGTCAGCAAGGGAGGTGAGCTGTGAAGACCATATCCTTGTAGTTAATCCTGGTATTGGCTTTAATGAACATGTAAGCAGTTTTGTTTTGTGTCTTTTGCCCCTTAATGTTTTGAGACTTTTCAAATCTACAGAACAGTTGAGAGAACAGCACAGTTGGTACTGTGGCCCCTCGTGCAGCAGCCGTGGTGAACTGCCCGCTGTGTGTGCTCGCTCACTGTGCACACGAACACACACTGCCCTCCTGTAACACCTGAAAGTAAGTTTCAGCATCATCTCCTGAGAATAAGGATATGACCATAAAACGTTCATCTCAACTGAGCAAATTTTCAGTCGGCACCTAGAAACTTTTTCTGTAAAGGGCCCGTCAGTAAATGTTTTCAGCGTTGCAGGTGAGATGATCTCTGTGGAAGCCACTTAGTCCTGCCAGTGTTGCGCAAACGCAGCTGGAACGAGACTGGAACAAGTGGGCCAGTGGGCGCGGAATTCCAGTAAAACCTCGGGCCAACAACGGGCTCTGGGCTCCATTCGGTTCTTTGGGCCATAGTTTGCTTATTTAGGTTTCTGAGTTCTTCAAACCATAATGTTGGTATGTTTTTAAAACTCCAGCCAGTTTTATACATTGCATTTTGCTATGTTGCTTTAATCTAGACCAGGGGTGTCAAACTCATTTTTCACCAAGGGCCACATCAGCCTCGTGATTGCCTTCAAAGGACCAAATGTGATTTTAGGACTGTATAAATGTAACTACCCTTTAACTAGGGGCAAGGAGCTCCACGCTGCCTCTGGGTAGAAACAAAGTGGAGGCCCAGATTCAGCCTGCAGGCTTTGTGTTTGCTACCTGTGATCTAGACCCACACCTTGTTATTTTCGTGAAATTGATTGTTTTGAAGAGCTAATGCCTGTTATAGATGAACTGCATTCTGGATTCCTCTGAAAGTTTACTCATTATTAGATTCACATTAAACATTTTCAGTGATGATACTATGCAGGTGGGAAGGTATAAGGTCAGTTGTCTCACTGTTGGAGCTGCTAGATTCTATCACTACCTAAAGTGTGTGATGTCTCCATTTTTCCTTTTGTCATTAATAAGTGGTAAATATGGAAGGTCATTGAGACTGAAAATGCACCTCACCCCCCAACCCCCGCAGCCCTCCTCTGCTTTCACCCAGTGGCTCTACCCATTTGTGGTCCTTATGGAATCAATTATTTCACCAAGAGCTACAAAATAGGGAATTTTCAAATGTATTTTTCCTATGTCAGCTGGAAGTCTTGTGTAAAACAGAGTTTTTTCATTTTGTCTGTGTTCCTTTTTTAGGAATTAAAAAAAAATAAAGATTTTTAAATTTATTTTTAGAGAGAGGGGAAGGGAGGGAGAAAGGCAAGGAGATAAACATCAATGTGTGGCCACCTCTCAAGCGTCCCATGCTGGGGACCTGGCCCGCACCCCAGGTATGTGCCTTGACTGGGAATCAACAGGCCACCCTTTGGTTCCCAGGCCAGCACTAAATCCACTGAGCCACACCAGCCAGGGCTAGGGAATTTTTTCCAGCGGGAACAAAATGGATAGTAATTGTTGAAAATGTACCCGCCCGACACAGGGGTGTTGCTATTGCTCTTGTTCTCGTTGCTACTGCTATTACTATTTCTGTGATTCTTGCTATTAAATTTCCAGGACTGTCCCTGAGGAGATAGTCCAGAAGAAAGTTCTCCAAGACAGAGAGCAGTCTAAAGCTGGAGATGGCATCAGTATCGGTTGGTGCTTCTTCCCTGGCTCCTCTGAATCTGAAGAAGGATCCAGGAAGGCCAGTGAAGGACGGTCACCACGCTGCTAGGGAGCAGGGATTCAGACGTCCAGGAAATGGCACTGGCCTTGAACGGGAGCCGCTGTGCAGACAGTTCAGGCAGTTGCGGTATGAAGAGACCGCAGGACCTCGAGAGGCGCTGCGCCGGCTCCACGAGCTCTGCCGGCTGTGGCTGCGGCCGGAGACGCACAGCAAGGAGGAGATGCTGGAGCTGCTGGTGCTGGAGCAGTTCCTGCGCATCCTGCCCGCGGGGCTGCGCGCCCGGGTGCGGGAGCGGCGCCCGCAGAGCGGAGAAGAGGCTGTGGTTGTACTGGAGGACCTGCATCCAGAGCTGCGGGAAACTGGACAGCAGGTGGAAAAGGTAAGATGAGTGCTCTTTTTCAGGAAGGCTGGATTGGAGACCGGCTGGAGAGGTGGAAAGGAGCTGAGTAGTGGCATGAGAATTGCCGAGTCCTCTCAGTTTTCCTGTCAGTTGGGGCTGTTCGTTGCTGCAGGTTTCACCTTTTCTGTGCTGGGAGGAAACGTGCTTTTTGTTGCCCCTGTGCAGTTTCTCTTTGCTCTCTTTTCTAATGTTGGAGTACTCTTCTGAACAGCAGTTCTCTCCTGTACCCGCTTGTACCCAATTGTCCCTAGCACCTAGGACAGGCAGAGCAACAGCACGAGTGTGTGGAAGACACAGTGGCTCTGAATGCTGCGCAGGCCCAGCAGGTCAGACCTGAGCGAGCAGATCCGAAGCCTGAAACAGAACAAGGTAAGAAACAGACCGTCTTCCTGGGTGTGAGAAGCCTGCACAGCACCCCTGGCATTTTGTTCTTTGTTTTTGTTTGGAGTCAGGTTTATTGAGGTATAGTGTACACACTGCAAACCCACTCTTTGTAAGTGTAGAGTTCAGTGGGTTTCTCAAACAGGAAGTAATTACAGTTGTCTAATCACCACCATAATGAAGACGTGAGATTCTGTCACCCCTGACCTTTCACTTTGGTCCATTAACGCCGAAGCCTCCTGTGAGAGGGCTGCTTCCTCCCCACGGCACAGAACCCCAGCCCCACGCTGCGGGGCTCATTTCTTCCCACTGCCTTCCTGCCGCTGTGAGAGGCTTCTGTCTTTGGTTTCTAAATGTCACCTGGATTGGGGGGTGTTGTTGTTGTTGTTGTTGTTGTTGTTGTTTTGCTCTGCTATGTTTTCTTTGGCTCTGAAATAGATCTTTCTAATTTTTGTCCCTTTCATTTTCTTCTTTCCAGTCTGATACAAGCCCTGCTTGTCATCTCGGTACCTCTGTGGGAGCACTGTCTGCCCTTTCAACACATTCATTAATGTTGCTCCCTCCTTAAGTCCCTTCAGTTAATGAGTGATGTTATTCTTTCAACCTTTTTTTTTGATGTTTGAAAAATTCTGTAACGAAGAGTAAAATCAAGAAAAAAACCGCCACTTTCAGTACCTTCCAATGGCTGTTAACAAAGGCGTCATATGCATATTCCAGCATCTGCTGACCCCACAGCCAAGTAATGTCAACTAACAACCAGCGTGCTCCACTCTGCTGGGCTTCGAGCACCGACTGTCCTGTGTTTTGGGAAAACCCCTGTCCCCAGGCAGATTGGGACAGTGAGTCACCCTCTGTCCCATCCTGCCCAGCTGCATTTTGTTTCTCCCTGAGTCTTCCATCTGGAATGGCTGTTCCTCACTCTCCCTAAGCCCTACCCACCATCAGGACCTGGCCAAGATGCCACTTTCTTGGTCATTTCCTGCCTCCTCCAAGTCTGGGTGAGGTTCCCCACCAGGTGTTCTACTACCACAGAGTTGATCCCATTATAGTGTAGTTGCTGGTCGGCGTCTCCTTTTTTCCTGCCAGAAAAATCAGCAGGGCCTTTATTTTATTTCCTGAGCCTGTTACAGTTCCTGGCTTAGAGCCGGCAGTCAGTAAGTGTCTCCTTGGTGAATGGCTGGCATTGATTCCAAAGTCCTTCTTACCCACTGCCTCCTCTTTCAGTTTTGGATGTTGCTGCAAAGGTGTGCCTCTTCTGGAAAGTTTGAGGCATAATTTACATTTCTACACTTACACAGCTAGTAAAATAAACATTTACTCAACATTAAAATCGGCACCACATCCACTTTTCTTCATTTTCAGTTAAAAGGCCATCGCTTTCTTATTGGCCCAAGGTCCTCAGTGGGCCTTTCTTTTCCATTTTCCATGTGACAAGCCGTTTTCAAGAATACAGCCATTCTGTTTGAGACAGTCTGCCAGCGTGTGTGTGTGTGTGTGTGTGTGTGTGATACAATAAAATTCAAACCATGCGCTTCCTTCCCCAAAGGCAGCCACTGTTAACAATTTCTTCTGTGTCATTCCACGTGTAATCTCTACAAACACAAACAGCCACAATATTTCCACTTTGCACACGTGGCTGGATTTAAAATTTTTCCTACTAATTACAGATTTCTTTCCCCAGGCACCAAAAAAAAAAAGTCATTGTTGGCATATGTTTGATATTTCAGGTGAAGAGACAGTGACTGAAAATGAGATGTCAGCTACAGAGACAGACCCTTGTGGAGGGTCAGAATGGACTGGGAGAGTACCTGAGCCCGGGGAGCCGCATCGTGAGGGCTCTCGCTTGGAAAGGCAGCAGGCCAAGCCCAAGGGAAAAACCGACCGTAACCGCTCAGCAGGTGGGGAGAGATTCCTCCAGTGCTCAGACCTGGCTGGACATGAAGGTATGCGCAGCGCAGGAAGGCTCTGTGGATCCAGTCCTCCCGGGCATCAGAAAATCCGCTCTAGAGAGAAAAGCCATCAGTGTCATGAGTGTGGGAAAGCCTTTCAGAGAAGCTCACACCTTGTCAGACATCAGAAAATCCATCTTGGTGAGAAGCCTTATCAGTGCAAGGAGTGTGGGAAAGTGTTTAGCCAGAACGCAGGCCTTTTGGAGCATCTTAGAATCCATACTGGAGAGAAACCTTTTCTCTGTATCCACTGTGGGAAGAGCTTCAGGCGCAGCTCTCACCTGAACCGGCACCAGAGGATTCACAGTCAGGAGGAGCCCTGTGAGTGCAGGGAGTGTGGGAAGACCTTTAGCCAGGCCCTGCTCCTCACCCACCATCAGAGAACCCACAGCCACGCCCGGGGCCACCAGTGTCACGCATGCGGGAAGGCCTTCAGCTTAACCTCAGACCTTATTCGACATCACAGGATTCACACTGGAGAAAAACCTTTCACGTGCAACATATGCCAGAAAGCCTTCCGACTAAACTCCCACCTTGCTCAGCACATGCGGATCCACAATGAAGAAAAACCCTATGAGTGCAGTGAGTGCGGAGAAGCCTTCAGGCAGAGGTCAGGCCTTTCTCAACATCGGAGATACCACCACAAAGACAGACCGGCTCACTGAAGTGCCCTCCCGCCATGGGGTGTCTGAGATAGAACATGAACAAGCAAGCCGCATCTTAGGAGAATTCCCTCTAGCCAGTCCTGGCATCAGAGGATCCTTGGGGTTGGCGGGGGGTGGACTTGGAGGCTATCTGCCCCCACTCTTCCTCCTTTCTTTTCCTTGAAGTCAGCTTTGTGCTACGATAACTGACCAGGATGGCACTGGGGGGTCAGAGTGGAAAGCCTCTTTGACAGCAGGACTTCTCAGAGCCTTTGACCTGGTGCAGACGTGGTGATGCGTCTCCAGGTAGCAGGGAACCTCATGACTGAGTGAGGGCTTTGAAGCTAGCAGCAATTCAGGTATCCACAGATGTACAGGCTGAAGCAGGACAAGAGCAGATGGATATTTTTTTGCACATGCTATAGCAAGAGACTCCTATAAAATAAAACAGGTGTCTTACAGTGCAAGTTAATGGTGACTGTGCCCCCCAGTGGCTTTACTAACCCCCACTCCTCCCACCCCCAACCAGCAGAGACATTTTGGAAAGCCAAGATCCCCTAATTTTGCCATTCCACACCCCCATCCCTGCCATGACATCTCATTGGTTCAAGTTAGAAATTAAACTGCAGAAAAGATTCCTGAGTGATTTGAATGAACTGTGTTGAATTCATGTAGTTGCTGTCCCTCTTCATAACTCCAGTGCAGGGTAGCAACTGCCGCCTAGACAATTGAGTAAATGTCCGATGCAATTTTTAAGTTTTGCTTGTTCTGAAAGTCTTTGAAAGTCAAATAATGAAAAGTTGGCTTGGAGATTATGATCTCTATGTTGTGAACACAACAACGTCATCGTCACGGTGAACAGCATTAAGCGTAGGGGACTCCACTTCCAGACACATCACTTGTTGAGTAATAGGAGCTGCCTGAGCTCTGCTGTCTGGAAGAGGCTTCACACTCTGCCATGGAGTGGGAAGATTGGTTAAGCATCATGGTTTTCTAAGGATCTGGTTCTGCATATGGTTGAAAGACAAAAAGAGTAGGAGTGAGCTCTGGCTAGTGTGGCTCAGTGGACTGGGCACCAGCCTGGGAAGCAGGGGTCACTGGTTCAGTCCCTGGCCAGGACACAGCCTGGGTTGCGGGCTGGGTCCCCAGTGGCGGGCACGTGGGAGGCAACACACTGGTGTTTTTCTCTCCCTTTCTCCCTTCCCCTCTAAAAACGAGTAAATATTTTTTAAAAGGTAGGAATGACTTAATCAAAGTCTGTTTTTCTCCTAAATAAGAGAGGCTGGAGACTAGCAGTCCAGGATGGCAAGGTGGTTCAGTGATGTTACTGGGGCCCCTGGCCTCTGCTTTCCTGCACCACCATCCTGGTACATGCTGTGGATCCTTACAGTCACCACATGACCCTCAGTGGCTGCTCTAGCTCCAGCCATCACATACAAAACGTGGACACAAGGCAGAAGGACAAAAAGAAGCGCCTCCAAAATCTGCCAGCTCCCTGTGAGCAGCCTTCCCACAGACACTGCCTCACTATGTCATAGGCCAAAACGTGGGACAGGGAGGCTGGGAAGTGTGCGCGCAGCTGAAAAGTGGGCTTCTGTCGCTCATGGTAAGGGGGATGCATGCTGGAGTAAGCACTGAGCGGTCTAACCCATTCCCATTCCTTCCCACTCAGGTGGGACTGGTGAGAGCCACCAGGCAACCACAGTGACAGTTGACCGAATCTGTAGGAGAAGCAGCTGTAGCAGAAATTGAAGGAATTGCGTAGAAAGTCAGCCACATTCCACTGCTTGGTTAGTCATAAAGCTATGTAGTTTTCATCCTGCCTTTATAAGTAAATGGAGTTGATACCAAGTCCCCCCCACCCCAAGTGTTTGGAGGCCTGTGCAGTGGTCAGCACCCAAACATGTAGCTGTGCCTCATAGTTTAAACTTGTTTCTGTTCAGTTTAAGAAAGAACATGAAATATCTTCCTTCTCAGTAGAAAGCAAAGACATGACCCCCGTCAGTGTGGCTCAGCTGTTGGGCATCGTCCTGGCTGGGTTGTCGGTTCTCTCCCTGGTTGGGGTGCATAAGGAAGGCAACCAATGGCTCTTTCCCTCTCTTTCTCCCTCCCTCTGTGTCCAAAATTAAAAAAAAAAAAAAGGCAATGACAAAAGATTCCAAGTGTGGAGAATTAAATGAATATATCCTTAAATGTCTGGAAAATTGATCTTGGCTTTCTCTCATGATTCTATAATACAGGTATTGTATGTATTCTAAATTAATTGACACCTCAGTACCCTGAGGGCAGACCCCTAACCACTTGGCACAAGTGTTGCATACAGGTATATGTAAAATAATATGTTTTTCTTATACCCATAAAGCATAAAAACCTGAACGAAAGACAAACGTCATAGGAGATCTCAGTTAGTTTCGCTTGCATGTGAGACTCCATGGACATCCTAAAAGGTGAGTTACAAGTCTATTAAGGCAGAAACTCGGAGAAGATGAACTGTTGCAACAATACCTTCTGAGCAGGGTTCTGTGTGGGCGCACAAAACGTGAACAATGACTAAGAGTGAGCCACTCCGTGTCACAGTCTGCAGCTTGAGTTCCTGTGCATGTATACTCTGTATGTTTAAGTAAAAAAAAAAAAACAAAAAAAAACACACGCTGTTTGCTGTATTGTAATAGTTTATTCATTTGTTCTCCCACCCCTCCACCGCAGCAGCCTGTGAGACCCTGAAGACAGACTCAGTTTCACCCTTTCCCTTTTTGGTTTCAAATGCAACGGTTTACACAATTGAGGGCCCTGCGGGGTCTGGGCGGGTGAGGGAGGGTCTTCCCGACACACCAGAGAGACGCGCTGCCGCGTCCTAGAGAGGCCTGGCACCGGTGCGCAGGCTGCCCCTCCCGCCCGGCGCCCCCACCACCCGCCCAGCCCCGCGGGCTCCTCTGCGCTCCCGGAACTGGTCGGAGGCCGGTCAGGTCCGGTCCTCGCAGCTCGCGGTCGCCCCGCCTTCCGCCCGCTGGAGCGCTGGAGCCCGTCGCTGCTCTGCGGGCGACCGACGGGAGGGTCGGAAGGACCGGCGCTCCCCGTACCGCCCGCCAGCGCCCCGGGCTCACCGAGACGTCCTGGTGCGCTGGGGCCAGGTAGAAGCCTGCCCGGTGGGCGGGTGGGGGGGCCGGGGGCCGGGGGGGCGCGGCGCTGGGGTGTGGTCTGGACCCACCGGGACACCCGCCGCCCCGTGTGGCCTGGAGGACAGACTTTCCTGTCTGTCCGCAGGGTTAGAGGCGGCATTGGCGCCGGGCCGTGGGCGGTGGCTGGGCTGCAGGGAGTCCCAGCCTGAGAGACCAGGCGCGCGGACAGGTTTGAGCGGCGGGACGCGAGCCCCGCCACGCTTTCTCGGAGGTCGGGACTGTGGGTTGTGTTCATTCACGGCTAGTGCGGTGCCCCCAAATACTGACGTGCCCAGTAAATGCCTGTTGAGTGACAAACGCACCAGCAAAACCCAGCAGGGTCGGATCCGGCGGGGTTTGGATTTGGTTCAAGGAGCAGCGACCGAAACCCGGTGTTCGGGAGGGGAGTGTGTGCAATGTGGGCCCGGCTGTGCCGAAGGGAACAAGGGGGGGGGGGCGGGGGGGAGTGGCAGAGGAAATGGTCGCTGCGATGATTTCAAGTGGCGATGACGGAGGGCACCTGCAGAGGCGCAGGCACAGCGAGCGCGGCTCCGAGCGGCTCTGGCGCCCGGTGGGGCCGCGGGGTTGCGGGGCGGGCGGGGCGGCCCGGAGGCGCCCAGTGCAGGGTCTGGGTCTGCAACGGGAAAGGCAGGTTCCGCGTGTTCTTGGGATGGAGACACGTTGTAATTGCGAAGAATGAGATCACAGAAGGAAGAGGGAGAGGGACAAAAAGAACTTGAAGCTTGTTTGCTGTTTCAGTGATCTATTGCTACATTAAAAAGAAAAAACTGAATGAAAATCTCAGCTTTAGTGGGAAAACCTCCGCTGATTGCTTGTTGCGGCTGTGTGGGCTGCCTGAGCGGTCCTGCCCGCCTGGCCCGAGTGACTCCGCCTGAGTGACCCGGTGGCAGCGCCGGCCGAGCCTCCCTGGGCTTTGGCGCCTCCCTGGGCTTTGGCGCCTCGTTCTCATCGCCTCAGCTGCCAGCTCAGGCCCCGCAGGGCAGCGCAGCCCCTGGCCGCCCAGAGCTGCAGGATCACTCCCTCTTAGCGTACTTTCTAATGTGTTCTGTCCTTCAAAGCTATCCCCCCTCCCTCTGGGCGCAGGTCACCGGTACTGCGGACAAGCCGCCCACCCCTGCAGTGAGGACAGAACATGTGTGTGTGGTGTGTGGCGTCCTGACACGCTTGCCACTTCCATGTTACAAACAATACCTGAAGCGTCGGTCACAGCTAAGTGAACCTGTTCCTAGCCTTCTTTGGTATGTTGTGTGTATTATCTACTACGCTCTTAAATAAAGTAAGCTAGAGAAAAGAAATGTTAACAAAATTATAAGGAAGAGAAAATACATTTATAGTATCTACTGAAACTATAACCCGCACCTTTCAAACTGTGTTCAAGGGTCCACGGCCCATGACACCTTCCTGCAAATCCTAGCACTGAAGCTCAACATGGATGAAGCTTTGTGGAGCCCCGCTCCTGAAAACAGGGACAGTCCAGTGAAAGTCAAGGTGGAAGATTCCACGTGGGAGCAGGTGTGCAGCACACAGGAGCACGGCTTCCACGCTCAGGAGCTTTGCCGCCTGCGCTTCCGGTGCTTCAGCTACCAGGAGGTGACTGGACCTCGGGAGGCTCTGTCCCAGCTCCGAGAGCTCTGCCGGCTGTGGCTGAGGCCGGAGACCCACAGCAAGGAGCAGATGCTGGAGCTGCTGGTGCTGGAGCAGTTCCTGCGCATCCTGCCCACGGGGCTGCGTGCCCGGGCGCGGGAGCAGCGCCCGCAGAGCTGCGAGGAGGCCGTGACAGCACTGGAGGATACAGGGACAGACACAGGAGACATAACACAGCAGGTGGGAAGAGACACTTTTATTTTTATTTTGAAGTTATTCATAACCTAGATAAGTTTTGGGAGAGTGGGACGGAGGACCCCGTTTCTCTTCCCCCACACTTCTAGTGCCAGCCTCTGTTTCCTGCGATGCTCTGCCCCGCCCCTGTGTGCGTCTGCCCCGCCCCTGTGCGCGTGCAGCGTTGAGATGAGCTGCAGCTATTATGCCCCTTTACCTCTAACACTTCAGTCTGTGTTTCTGAAGAACAAGGACTTGCCTCATGTAAACAGAAATACTGTCATCCTAGAGGAAGTCTTTGTTCAGGTTTTGCCACATTATCCCAGTTGCGTTCTTTATGGCAGTTTTCCCCCAGTTCAGGGGTACAGTCCAGCACCACAGGTTGCATGTGGTCCCCATGTACCCTTAGTTCCCTTGAGTGTGGGGGCGTGGCTTGGCCTTTGCTATGACGTTGACAGCTGGGTTTGTCTTGTGTTTCTCATGACGAGTCCGGGTTGTGCGTTTTGGCCCGAATGCCGCAGCAGTGAAGCGTGTCCCCAGTGCGCTCCGTCAGGCGGCACGTGGGCTGTCTCATTACTGGTGATGGCAAGGTGGCCTCTGTCAGACTCCTCACTAGGAAGCTACCGCTTGCCCCTGTGTAATAAGTGGCCGGTGGGAGACGCTCTCAGATCCTACCTATCACATTCCTCATGAAGCTTCCACCCACTGGTTTAGGCATCCCTCTGGGGTTTTGTGTTTTGTTTAGTTTTTCTTTGCAGAAATGTCTTGTCTCTCTCACTTGCCGCAGACATGCATCCACCTGTGCTGAAGGAAGGAATGTCTCTGTCTTGTTCTGTGTCTTACCTGCTGCTCTAGCAGATTGAATAGCACTGTCTTGTGTCCCCTGGAGGATGTCCCTTACTACTGTTTGGTCCAGTTCCCACCAGAATGCCTTCTTAAGGTGACCCTTTTGTCCCCAGGCCTCCGTCTACACTCAGGGACAGGACATGCACCTCCTGGTGACAGACTGTCAAGGTGCCTCTTTGGAGTGTCAGAGCCTCCACCTCCTGCCTGGGGCGACCACTGTGAAATGTGAGCCTCCAGAGTTTCCCCACGAGAACGTCCAAGCCATG